GACCTTGAGGAAACGTTCTAAAGATAAATCGAGCGTAAATTCTAATAAGTTATTTATTTTTAGTTGTTTATTCGAGATAGGCCTTTTTATTTTAATATAATAAATTTATTACCGACCGAATAGGTATACAGGGTTGTTCACCACATACGACACGGAGTATTGTAGCTAAACGATTAGACTTTTACAAATTGTAAGTTTTGGGTTCGTTGAAGGACTATTAGAGCTACAATTAAAAATATTTTTACAAGATACAGAGTGTCCCAAATAAATAAAAAATATCAAAGTTGTATTTTTTTAAATGAAAGACCCTGTATATTATTACATTTTTAGTTTCTATGATTAAAATAAAGGTAAATTTGATTAAGGTTTATCACACTTAAACCTTACCGTTTTTGAAATATTTTCAATTTTGTAGCAGTAAAAATTTTAAGGCTTCATTTCTCCAAGAGTATCAAAGTTTTTAATACGAAATATTTACTGAAGTTTATCTATTGATCAGTTATTGTGTTGCAATAATAAAAATAATACTACCTCATACAGGGTGTCTATAAATTTATTTTAAATAATTTTTAGCTTTAAACGGCAATAACTTGTTCAATTTAAATGGAACACCCTGTATATTTTACGAGAATCAGATGCACAATTTAATTGTCTATCAAATTTTATTATACCATTTTTTCCTTCAAGTTTCATCCATTCAAGTTTTCGTAGAAAATGCATTTTCTTATAATTTAGACCTAATTTATCAATATACCTATGAAATATTGACATTTTAGATTGTTTTTAAAGCAACAAATGTCTAAAATGTGCAGGTACCAAAAACGTTAATATTACTAGCCCATTTTTGTACAAAAAGAAAAATATTTAAATCTTTATAAAAGAGTATACCATTAATTAAATATTCCACCATTATTTTCGCCCAAATATTAATTAATTACAAACCTAATTGTGTTAGTTAATAAATTATTCTAAATAAATGTGGATGTGAATCAGAAATCAATATAATAATAAGTTACGATAATTAACGTCTCTGTTGTTATAAATAAGCATTCGTCAAAAAATGAAATAACATTTTTAAGGTGTTACTTTTTACCACACTGTCTAATACACATACAAAATTCAGTTTTTTAGTCTTTGTAGCAATTATTAGGAATAAACAGAAACAGAGTAAATTAATGTAGTTTGAATACTGGAATCATATTAATTGATACTCTAACAAATATTTAAACCGTTTTTTTTACTTTTTTAATAAAGTAAACGAACTATATCTACAATATTAGTATCTGTACTCTTTAAAAATAATCTAAAATGTCAATATTCCATGGGTATATTGATAAATGAGGTCTAAATTATAAGAAAATGCATTTTGTACGAAAACTTGAAGAGATAGTTAATTGGATTATTATATATGGTTAGATAGTTAATGCTTTAATACAATTTGATAGACAATTAAATTGTGCATCTGATTCTTATAAAATATATAGGGTGTTCCATTTAAATTAAACAAGTTATTGCCGTTTAAAACTAGAAATTATTTAAAATAATTTTTTAGACCCTCTGTATAGGGTAGTATAATTTTTACAATTACAACACAAAATTTAGTAAATAGAAATACTTCAGTACACTATTTGGTTTTAAAAACTTAAATACTCCTAGAGAAATGAAGCATTAAAATTATTACTGTATTTTGAGAAAAACCTAAATATTTCAAACACGGTAAGATTAAAATGCGCTAAACCTTAATCAAGTTTACCTTTATTTTAATCGTAAAAACTAAAAATGTAATGCCCAACAATAATATACAGGATGTTCAATTTAAAAAAATACAACTTTGATATTTATTATTTATTTAGGACACTCTGTATCGTGTAAAAATATTTTTAAATAGTAGCTTTAATAGTCCTTCAACAAACCCAAAACTTACAATTTGTAAAAATCTAATAGTTTAGCTGCAATACTCCGTGTCATATGTGGTGAACAACCCTGTATACATACGCCTATGTAAAATAATAATATTTTTAAATACTTTTATTCGCTTGGATTAAATCGACTGAAAACAAAGACAGTGTTCATTCTAGAATCAAAAACAATAATAAATGAAAATACTTACTTGCTTGTTATTATTTTAATAATATTGTTTTTTATACGAAACTATTTTGTAAGTACTAATATATTTTTGGTAATTATTTAGTTCATTAAGGCAATGATTTGAAAACATCTGGTGATTTAATGACAGATTTATCACCAGTGCTTCAGGTTGTAGATCTTGATATTTTCGTAATATTGTAGATTTTGGCTCTGAGTTTAGTTTAGAATGCGATGTTCAAAAAATTAGCTATCGTTTTAGGGTTACTGTACTATAACTTTCACGAATTACCGGTAACTGCATAAACAATTCGCCTGTTTTTTTATTGCATGAGCAATACAACGGATCTAGTAAAATTGTCCGAAAACAATTGATCGAAAAGAAAATTAACTAAAGAGATAGTTGCCCGAAAAGAAAAATCATCGATCATTGACAGAAATAAAAATTTCCCAAAATGTCGATTTTTGGTAAAATATTTCCGTTTAATAAAAACCAAACTAAACAAAAACAAAACTGTTTCTTTACCCGTGCCTTTTTGATAAAAATAACTGTGGAGTAACAAGTTCTGTTTTTCCTATTCACTGATTACAAATTCGACTTCCATTCTACGTGTTTATACCGGATAGTGATTTTACAATAAATACAATTTTTCAGAAATTGACAGGGATTACAATGATAATGGCCTGACAACTATTGTATTTTTTGGGGCAACTTTCTGGTTTGCTAAAATGGCCTTAGGGATATTATAATTTCGGTCAATTTTCCATTAGGGCAATTTTTGTTTCGGTGATTTCCTTTCGGTCAATTTTCCCTTGGCCATTTGTTCTCGGACAATTTTCTGGATACGCAATACAGCTATGTGCAGAGTCTCTGACCATGGTTTGTGGCAAAAAATCAGAGACTTATTTGACTTATTCCTTTCAAGTGTTTTGAATTAGCCGCACTGTAAAAGAGAGCTGCTGTCACAATAGAACTTTTATTTTATCCCAAGCCACTATCAAAAAATAATTAGGCAGAATGTGTAATTTTCTCTCGCACGCATTTGTGCATAAGGACCTATCTCAAATTCCATCTTTCTTGTAGTATAACAATTGCATTAACAATATATATAACAAAGCCCTATCTGAACTTATGTCTCTTTGTCAGAACGAAGAATTCTAGTATTTGAGATGGGGCAAATTTTTAAATGAATATAAAATGAAAAAGGTATAATATTGAGATGTGCAAAATCGCTACTATCTTAAAAAAATACCCAATGGACATGTCATGACGTTGATATCTCAAAATCGCCAAAAATCGATATACGCCTTTTCGTCATAAAGCCGACGATATGTACACTAATACATGCTAAAGATATTTAATATTTTATTTTAATAATTTTAAATTGATTTCCGAGTTGTTCTTTAAAAAAGAATCCGCCCTAGGCAGCTTCCTTTTTTTCTTAATTGGTAAAGCGGCCCTGTTCGAACTTAACAAACTCTGTGCGATTTTTTTGTAAGATTTTAAATGCAACAGTATATATCATCTGTTATGGCTTAAATGGACACTTGGCTAGTTTTCAAACTAGCCGGTTATTTTGCAAATAGCGTAACCAACACAGCAAACTGACACCAAACCAACAAAATAACAGCGCTTTTTGTAAAATAGCTGGTAAGCAAAGGTTAGCGGGTAGCAAAGTATCCATTTTAGGTTAAGAACATAGTGGAGCGACGAGGATAGCGGCGAGCAAGCAGCGCGATACCGCGTCGAGCAAGCTTCGAGGTGCTAAAACATAGTAGAGCGGCGAGGAATAGCGATGTACTTGTACAAATTAATTATTTTCATTTGCTTATTGATAATTTAAAATGTTAACAGTGGCTGAGCTGAAATGACAAACATGAAATTTTAAAAAACCGGAGAAAGTGTAACAAGTTTTATAATCTTTACGAAAATTTGTTGCCACTTCATCTCATAACTTATCTAAAATGTACCGGTTATGGTGATTACTATCTTTCTGATCCCATAAAATATCTCTTACAAATACTATTAATCTATTAATTTTTGTGAATCTATCATTTTCTACAGGCGCGACGGAGCGACGAAAACAAAATTATTTGAATCGATCTCACCGCTCTATTTAACCTCTCGAGCAGATCACTTTACTATGTTCGCACGTACTTGCACGTACACAGGTTTGTTTTGGACGCAATGTCGCGCTGCTTGCTCGCCGCTATCCTCGTCGCGCCACTATGTTTTTAGCCTAAGGCCTAACCGCGTCGAGCAAGCCTGAAGGTTCTAAGACATAGTAGAGCGGCGAGGAATAGCGAGGTACTTGTACAAATTTATTATTTTCATTTTCTTATTGATTATTTAAAATGTTAACAGTGGCAAAATTCTGGACAATACTGTCGCAAACATTTGGTTTATTCGAAACCATCAAACCAAAAGGTGTAGTGTACATGAAATTTGTACACTTCAACATAAAATTTTCAAAACCCGGAGAGAGTGTGACAAGTTTCATAACCTTTACGAAAATTTGTTGCCACTTCATCTCATAACTTATCTAAAATATACCGGTTTAGGCGATTACTATCTTTTTGGTCCCATAAAGTATCTCTTACATACATTAAATCTATTAATTATTGGGAACCCATCGTTTTCTACAACGCGACAGAGCGACGAAAACAAAATTATTTGAATCGATCTCGCCGCTCGATCTAACCGCTCAAGCAGATCGCTTTACTATGTTCTCACGTACTTGACTTCACACTTCTTGTTTTGGAAGCGATGTCACGCTGCTAGCTCGCCGCTATCCTCGTCGCTCCACTATGTTCCTAACCTTAGCCGTAACATATTATCTACTATGTAATTTTAGTTGATACAGTCATTCTGTGTGGGGACACCCGATACAATTAATACAAATTTAACATCTTACGTCATATCCTAAAGGCAATTCTTCAAGTTCTTCGTATTTGTCTGGGTCATCTGCAAACAATCCTGTCAGTCTTCGACGTTGTAGACAAAACAACAACATTTTCAGATAGGTCGTGCGTAGTTGCTCCGAGCCGGTCTTGTCATCCGCGCATTTTTTTACCCAAGCTGCAGCCAATATTCTATCTAAAATTACTCACTACTTCAAGTAAAGGTTATTAAAATGTAAATAGCTTAGTGCATTTAATGTACAGGGTGGGTCAAATTCAACGCTTTTAAAGAGAAAAACCCATTTTTATAGGAGATAGACGAAAACTAATATTGGTTTCTGGAGTCAATTTTTATCAAAAGCATGATGATGAAAACCGCACATCGATATCTGTTACCGTTTCGGAGTCACCGGGTGTTTTACAAAAATGTGCATTTTTAACAAATCGCTGTAACTTTTTCGCTATGGAAAATTTTGTATTTTTATGAAAACATTTCCAAAGCATCTTTTTACGTAGAATTTAATGGTTTAAGTATATTTTTTTTAAGTTAATAATTTAAGAGTTATCAACAGAAAAATTGATTTTTTATTTGGGACACCTTGTATATTTTTAATTAATTGAAAAGAACTAAAAATTACCTTTCCAAAAATATAGCACACTTGATATTTGGTTATAGGCCCCTTCGAAATACAGAATTTTTAAAACTTCACCACTTTTAACAAGTACTGTGCTAGAAGGCTGTGGATCCCTTATTGGATCTGCCTCTAATATAACTCGAAAGCATATTTTTCCAGCAAGAATCTATATCTCGAAATCGAATTGAGCAAAATATCAAGTATGCTATATTTTTGGAAAGGTAATTTAGAATTATTAGAAGAAGAAGAATATAAATGTCCCATATAAAAAATAAAATTTTATGTTGATAATTCTTAAATTATTACTTTAAAAAAAATATACTTAAACCGTTAAATTCTACGTAAAAATGTTTTTGGAAGTGTTTTCATAAAAATACATTTTCCATAGTAAAAAAGTTACAGCCATTTGTTAAAAATGCACATTTTTGAAAAACACCCCGTAACTCCGTAACGGTAACAGATATCGATGTGCGGTTTTCACCACCATGTTTTTGATAAAATTGGAGCTCGAGACACCAATATTAGTTTTTGTCTATCTCCTATAGAAAAGGGTGTTTCCCTTTAAAAGCGTCCAATTTGACCCACCCTGTACATGATGAGGCAATGGTAGAGTCGAAGCTACGGTGGGGCAATGTGGGGCAGTAGCTCCACCCTAGCTAGCTAGCTTAGATATACATACATGCTTTTTTGTAGTTTAAATCAATATTCAATCTAGAATCGATAATATTGAGTGGAATTGGGCACATTTTTATTGCGTTTAGAACGAATAATAGACATGTTGAAAAGATAGCATGACGTAATGTTGTAGGATAAGATTGGGGGCAAATGGGTAAATGGTAAATTAACAACATATACAGAGTATATACTTTGCGTCACCAATACGTGGTTTATATTGAAGAACAAGTTTAAAAGTACCTGGACACATCCCAGGCCACTGGCATCAATTGGACCATGTTATCGTTCGAAGGACGCGTTTAAAAGGTGTCAGACTCACAAAAGCCAGAATAGATGCCGAATGTAACACTGACCACCGACTTATAATTTCAAAAATGAAGATCCAGTTAAAACCACAACATCCAAACTATATAAAAAGTAAAACAACATGACCAGATTGAACGTACTAGAGAAGAACAATACCGCCGACGCCCTCCATGAAGCCATCAAAGAATCACTTCCACCGATAAGAGTTACACGACGCACTATTGCTTGACCCTGTATTTCGCTTATATGACTTGCTGTCCGTGTAAGTGACCTCTTCCATATATTTGTAATTCATTTTCATTATTTTCTACATCATTATTATATCTTTGTATATTATATCGGGTATGCTTAATTATAGCAAATTAATATTATTTATAAAGTAATTACCTTTAGGTGTGGGTAGGTTCAATATCAATGGTTTTGCAAGATTGGAATAGAGTTGAAATTCGTTCTTCACGAGTGATTCCATGATTTTGAAAAAAATTATATCTTCTCAGACTGTATAATTTTGCTGATAGTACAAAAAATTTTAAAAAAAAATTTTAAACACTATAAAAAATATGACATTTATAAAAATGTCAATTTGACCGATGATTACTTGAAAATAGTCGCTACGGTATTATTTGATAAGGTGCAGGTTAAACATAAAGGTGAACATTATTTTTTGTATCTACAGTAATAACGTTTATTTTTATCTATCTATACCTACAAACAAAAGTGTTTTCAAAAACGTGCAAGTATTTTCTCAAAAAATTAACTGAAGCCTTTCAACGAAGAAAAAATTTATCCAAAGAATTTTTTTAAAACTTATTAGTTATTTAAAGATATTCTATGTAGAAAGTACCACTATTAAAAATCTATCAAGCTTGCAAGAGTCTGGGAGAAACAGCATAACCATTTCTGGGCTCTGCAAGACCATGACTACTTATTAGACTGTAAGACTAAGATCAAGAGAGTCTTGGTCTTGCATTTGCTCATTAATAGTAAGGTTAAACGTTATTAAGTTGGTGTGAGAGGAGAGCCATGAAAGAGAATGCACGCTGAGAAGATTTGACCCGCTGAGAAATAACGGACAGAGGCAAATGTAGTCAGATTGTAGGTATTTATAAATATATGCCTTTATTGTCAAAAAATTTTACAATTTGTAGACAAAGGTAAAGTAAACAAACAAAGTAAACAAACAAGGTACACAAACAAACAAACAAAAGATAATACAAAACATTATACAAATAATATTGTCAGTCTTATTGTTTAAAATAAACATTTATAAATGTTTACAATGTCAAAGAATAAAAAAAATAAAAATAATATTCAAAAATATTTAGTTAGTTTATAGTAAATATCAATGACCTCTAAATAAGTATATTTCGGTGTCATTGGTAAATATAGCAATAGCAAACATTAGACCAGTGTTTACAAAAGATCAAATTCGATTATCAAAATATAATTCATTTACGGCGTAGAAAGCCTTGTCTAGTAAATAAGAGTTCAATGCTTTGCGCAATGAAGAAAATGATGTTATGGATTTAATTTCAAATGGCAGGTGATTGTGCATTTTTTTCGAGTTGTATAATATTGAACATTTAACTAACTCTGAGCGTGGGTTAGGTAGATAAAGATCTTGCTCCGCGTTCCTGATTGGATAAGTGTGAGATGGCCTTTCTTGAGAAGCTGATACATGCTTACGTATTAGGCAAACGGATTCAAATATAAATAAGGAAGGAAGAATTATATTTTTTAATTTTTTAAAAAAGTCCTGGCAATGAGTTCTGCTGTTTAATCCCAGTGAATATCGAACAGCTCTCTTCTGGAGCTTGAAAATGCGGTCAAATTAAGTCGCACAACACGTACCCCAGAATGGAAGGGCATACCTGAGATGCGACTCAAAAAGTGCATAATAAACAGTTTTAGCCACTGACAAGTTAAGCTCCTTAGAAACAGATCTTAATGCAAAACAGGCAGAGCTCAATTTTTTCGACAAAGCTTCGATATGCATGTCCCATTTCAGAGAATTGTCAACAACAAGCCCTAAGAATTTTACAGATTTTACGATGTCAATGGTGGTGTTGTTAAGTACAAAAGGCTGCAGCGTGTTTTTATACGACAAAGCTTTAGTTTTAGAAATGTTGAGACTCGGGAGTTTCGAATCGCACCAAGATTTGATGGTGATTAAGTATTTGATATAATCCTATGTTCGCATGTTACAATTTCATTTGATTGACGTATTCAATTCTTTTCGGTCACATCCCGTTTAACCGGAAATGACTACAACTTTTGATTTTTAAATGACACCCTCGGTATTTTTTTTTACTTTATTCGATAGAAAATGACACTCTGAATAGAATGATATATCATATGTCAACTTTTGACATATTTGCTTAAAAAATACCGTATTTTAAATTTCAATCTAGAGTGCCTTGGCTGTGCTAAAAAACACTAATGTTTAATCAAGGATCCTTAGAAAAATAGATTTGATCTTCTAATGTTTTTAGTGTTTTGTCCTGGCGGGTTAAAATATGACCAAATCGTATTTTTAATCATATCTCAATTTTTTCAAATGAAACAAGCATACGACTTATTAGCATATTTGTAAAAAGTATTTTTTTACGAACAATCTGGTACCACACGCTTAGTATTTCGAGTCAAATTGTCGTTATGAATCGCATGTTACAATTTCAAATAAACCATATGCGAAAATGTCAAAATGTGACATGTAATATGTCATTCTATTCAGAGTGTCATTTTCTATCGAATAAAGTAAAAAAATACCGAGGATGTCATTTAAATTTGTGTTTAGTAGTAAAATCACGACTGTCCGACAATTTTTATTCAATCCAAAAAAATTAAAAAATGTCTTATGTTGGATTAACAGATGTTACAGAGGGAAAGAATTATTGCTCTAACCGAACAAGGAATGCTCCAGAGAGACGTAGGAGAGATAGTAGGCGTTACCCAGGATGTTGTATCGAAAACATATGCAAGGTACTTAGAATTAGGAACACACAAGGATAGGCCCAGACAAAGTCGTCAAAGAGTCACAACTGAACAACAAGACCGCCTTGTGTGCTAAATTGCTAGAATAAATCCCAATGTTTCGCATCCGAGCTACAAAGACAACTTCTGGCAGCTACAAGTGTGAACGTTTCAGTTGAAACCATAAGAAAAATACTTCGTATACGAGGGTTTTACAGTAGGAGAGAGTTACAGATCTCACAGTTATCTCGGCAAAATAAAATTGACCGGCTGAATTGATGCCGTCAACATCAAAACCGGACAACTGAAAATTGACAAAATGTTTTTTTTTCGGATGAGACCAGAATTGGCCTAAGATCAGATAACCATCGAATTCGGGTTCTTAGAGCTCCAGGAAGACGAGCGAGACTTCAGGCTGCCAAATCTGCACCAAGATATAAAGGAGGAACTGTAATGTTCTGGGGAGGTATTATTCTGGGAGCAAAAACTCCATTGTTACCACTTCAACAAATTTTAACGGGTCGGAGATATGTTGATTGGATGCTAGAACCAATCGTTAGTCTTTGGTGAGCTGCAATTGGGGATAATTTTAACTTCATGCACGATAGTGCACCTCCCCATACCAGCAGAGTGCCTAGATGACGTCTTGAAACGGAAGGTGTCATAGTTTTGGACTGGCCTGGCTATTTACTAGATCTAAACCCTATCGGACACTTGTGTGACTAGCTCAAAAGAAGGGTTAGAGCTCGTCGAAACAATCCAGGAAATCTCTCACAGCTTATTGATGTAGCATTAGCAGAATGGGAAAACATACTTCAAGACAACGTGGATAATTTAATAAGAAGCATGCCAGCGCGGATAGAAGCTTGTATAAGGGCTAGAGGTGGCAACAAGGAATATTAAAATTATCAATTTTCTTTTTGTTTATGCTTTTTGGCCATTAAAAATTTAAATCTTAAGTTCGTTTCAGAAACCAAAAAATACCATTTTGTTTATTTTGGGAACTGATTAATTTTTTTTATTGCTATATGAATTATTTTTCATTAAAAGTCATTGGTAAGCACTGAGTTTTATTCATAAACAGAAAATTTTCATACATCTCAAAAATTATCAAAAATAATAGATGATTCCACATAAGTTTGGTTGTGTGTAGTATATATAGTTCCAGAATCATTTTAAGTATCTCACTTAATTTAAAATTTTCCTGTTTTCTATTTTAAGCTAGTAAAAAACATTTTAATGTAATTTTTGGCGAGGATGCCGATTTTCTGCATTAAACTTTTTTAAAACGTCAATTTTGACAGATACAACGCCATCTTCATTTTTTTGTTAAATTGGAAACACTCATACATTTTAGCATGGTCCCGTAGACATATTTTAGCTAATTTCAAAAATATATAGATTAGTATGCTTTATACAGGGTGGTCCGAACTGTATTCCGGAAACTTCGGCAGCATATTCTGCAGATAAAAATAAGTAAAAAAGTTCGTATAAATGTATGTCCTAAAATGCTTAATTTCGGAGATACAGGGTGTAGAAATTTCATTTTTATTTCGATTTTTTCCAAATAATTTCTGAAGTAACGTCAATATTTGGTTGAAAATTGCTGTCTGGGAGTTTTTTGACATGAGAAATTTGATTTTGATGTCAATATGACTCCTACTAGTAGAGGGCGCCACCTACATATTTTTTAACTGGTTTGAAGAGTAATAACTTTTCGTCTGTACCTGTATAAAACTACTGAATATAGAAAGATACATTTACGACGTTTTTTACGTGAAAAAGGTCTCTTGGTAAAAACCGCTACGAGTAATGGTTTTCGAAATATTTGGAATAGAAATTATCAATACCTGTCATCATTGACATAAATTACATTAACATGTTGACTAAATAGTTATTAGTAGTGATGAGTGAAATATCGGTAACTGTGACTTTGTCACTGATATTCTATAATCACAGTCACGGCCTGTGACTGATTTGAAAATAAACTGTGACTTGCTAAAGCGTGACGATTACAGTTAATTGTGATTTCTCTGGTAACGAGAAAATACTTCACAGAGCGGGACGTCGCGGTCGCGAACGCAGCTGCCGATGGCGCCGGTCGTGACTCAGTTCACAGTCACGAGTCACCACGTACGTCTCATAGGATAGATATCTGACAAAGTGATCTAAAGACAGCGACTGTTAGAAGTGATTTAATTTTTTATGTATTTTATATTTTATTACTATTTTTTATCACTACGAATCGGTTTGGTTCCTTTTTAGTTTACCAGATTTTTTTAAAGCCAAACATAAAGTTTTGCCTTTATACTGTTTATTTTTTTTAGAAACTTCATTTTTTATATATTTCGTTTATTTTAATACAAAGGAAAATATTTGTTGTTTAATGTATTACTTATCTCGTATTGTTAAGTTTCGTTCGTTATGGTTATGAGCATATTGCATATTTTATTCTTTTCCCGTTGGTTTCTTTAAATAAAAAATTGTTTTATTTTATTTTTTAATAAACCTTTACCCACTGTTTAGTGTTTTCTATTTCAGCGGCCTTGGATAAAGGACAAATAAAAATTAGTATAACAACAACAACAGAATCGTATCATTCGTATCGTATCTTATATTTTAGCCGTGATTGTGCTTTCGGATTCATAATCATAAAGTCGCAGTCACAGTTAAGAGTCACAGATAATACAAAGTCGCTGTCACAGGTAAGCCTGTGAACAGAAAATCACGGTTTGGCTCATCACTAGTTATTAGACTCAAATCATAAATTTGAAATGTTTTTGTGCCAAATGTTCAACAGAAACTGTTTTATCATCATTTTTTGTAGAAAAATTTATGATTAATTTAAAAAAAAATTAAAATTTCCCTAATTTAGTATTTCAGTCAAATAACTATCTACTCAACGTGTTTATTTTTCGTCAATCATAACATGTATTTACTATTTCCATTCTAGATATCTTGAGAACGGTTGCTCGTAGCGATTTTTACAGAGAGACATTTTTTACGTAAAAAATCACAGAGATGTATATTTTTTCGCTCGGTAGTTTTATACAGGTACGGACAAAAAGTTATTACGTTTCAAAACAGTTAAAACACACGTAGGTGGCGCCCTTTACTTGTAGGAGTCATATTGACATCAAAATCAAATTTCTCATGTCAAAAAACTCCCAGACACCAATTTTCATCCAAATATTGACGTTATTTCAGAAATTATTATATTATTAAAAAATCGAAATAAAAATGAAACTTCTACACCCTGTATCTCTGAAACTAAGCATTTTAGGACATACATTTATACGAACTTTTTTACTTATTTTTATCTGCAGAATATACTGCCGAAGTTTCCGGAATACTGTTCGGACCACCCTGTATATTTATACTAACTATGTATTTTTGAAATTAGCTAAAATATGTCTACCGGATCATGCTAAAATATGTGGGGGTTTCCATTTAAAAAAAATCAAGAGGGCGCCGTATTTATCAAAATTGACGTTTTAAAAAAATTTGATGTATATAGAGAATCGGCATCCTAGCGAAAATTTACATCAGAAAATCTTTCTACTTTTTACTATTTTTAAATACGAAATAGAAAAATAATAATTTGAGTGAGACACTTAAAATGATGTCCCTGTAGAATGTATCAATTAATTCTTATTGAAAACGTAATCGGTTCCAGATATAGGTCATTATTACGGGCCCGTGCATCCTTCGGCCGTACGTCCTTGAAATTTACCGGAGATCGTTAGAAGGGCGCACGCGCCGGAATATTCGATAATTCCCGGAGTCGGAAGCTTGAAAGGCTCAACAGTTTTTCGCCCGGAAAAATATCGCCTAGCCATCGGTCAGCATGTCCTCACCGCATAGTATGTGTGCCAAATCTTAAGTTCGTTGCACAGTGAACAAGCGTTTCCTTGCTATATCGGTTTTACCCTAAGTTGTTTTGATTTTGTTACTTTAAGGGTGTGGACAATAAAATTCAACAGGTAAGTGGCAGCTGATTAAAACAAAATATTTTTTATAGTAATATACAAAACATTTTTTCGCAATGTTGGTTATTATAAATAACATTTTTTATAATAATAAAACAATATAATGAAGAGGTATAACTATACAGGATGCCCCAATATTCCGTGGACATAGAACTACTACGTATTTTTGGTTTCAAAATCAAAACAAGTAACCATTTACTCAGTGACGGATAGAGAGGGGGGGCCGACGGGGTCCGGGCCCCCTCAATGTATACATTGCGTTAAATATTAGCCTTTTGGGTTAATAATGGCGCCCTAAAATGCATATTCTACATTATTTTTTTATTTGGGCCCCACCCCCTAAAATAAATTTTTGTATCCGCCCCTGCATTTACCTACAGGATGGTCGAACTGTATTCCGAAAACTTCGGCAGCATATTCTGCACATAAAAATAAGCAAAAAAGTTCGTATAAATGTATTGTCTTAAAATGCTTCGTTTCGGAAATACAGGGTGTAGAAGTTTTATTTTTATTTCGATTTTTTCCAAATAAATTTCTTAAGTAACGTCAATATTTGGGGGAAAATTGATATCTGTGGGTTTTTTGATATGAGAAATTTGATTTTGATGTCAATATTACTCCTATTTGTAGGGGGCGCCACCTACATGTGTTTTAACCTTGTTTTAACTGGTTTAAAGAGTAATAACTTTTCATCCATACCTGTATAAAACTACTGAAAAAATATACATTTCCGTGATTTTCTACGTAAGAAATGTCTCTTGGTAAAAATCGCTATGAGCAGCAACCGTTCTCAAGATATTTAGAATGGAAATAGTAAAAGATGTCATTATTGACAAAAAATAAACACGTTAAGTAGGTAGTTATTTGACTGAAATAATAAATTTGGGAATTTTTTTTAATTAGTCATAATTTTTTCTGCGAAAATATGACGATAGAACAGTTTCTACTGAACTTTTGGCACACAAACATTTCAAATTTATGATTTCAGTTTAATAACTATTGTAGTATTATTGATGACTATGATATTATTGATATACTATTATTGATATAGTACTATATTGATATACTATTATTGATATAGTTCTATTGATGACATGTATTGATAATTTTGATTCCAAATATCTTGAGAACCATTACTCATAGCAATTTTTACTAAGAGACCTTTTTTACATAAGAAGCGTCGTAAATGTATATTTTTTACTCAGTAGTTTTATACCGGTACGGACAAAAAGTGATTACTCTTTAAACCAGTTAAATCAAATTTCTCATGTCAAAAAAATCGAAATAAAAATGAAACTTCTACAGTTCTACACTCTGTATCTCCTAACTCTGTATCTCCTAAACTAAGCATTTTAGGACATACATTTATAAGAACTTTTTTACTTATTTTTATCTGCAGAATATGCTGTCGAAGTCTCCGGAATACAGTTCGGATCACCCTGTATACAAATGTGCTTGGTTTCTCCATTAGAAGGCATCAAACTTTAAAAAATAATCACATTTTTTCAGATATGTTAAGAACCGTTATTCCAATTTGAATGAGATTTTGGGTGTCTATATTTTGCTAAGTGCTTTAACATTTTACTTTTACAAAAATCAAGAAAAAATACGGGAAACCTGAAAACTACCCCCACACCTACATAAATTTTAGTATAAATATTTTCCAACTCAACCGACGTCCGACTTTTTTTTTCGTAAAATGGTCCTTCTAGTACCTATGTATTACATTTTTTGTCTCTTGTAAAAAAAACGTCACCGCGCATACTTTTTGAGGAAAAAATGATTATTCCGAAGCTGGCTTCCGAAAAATATTTTTTTGTCACATCCAGCTATGGGGGCGTATAAAATATATCCCCTCAAAAACATAGAAGGTAAAAAAATACCAAGTTTCGCAACACAATTCCTCCGCTATAAAAAGTTGTGAAATCTCACGTAAAACCGAGTCAGTTTATTTTATTTAGTCTCTCTTTAAGTATATGTCTTCATGTTTAGTGAAAATTAATATTCTTGCTTTATCCACAACGAAGTTACAGGGTGGTCAAAATTGCCGCTAATACCTTCGAGAAAAGGATGGTATGGCTGTGCTCGACTAGACGAGGGCACCCTGCCGTGCCCCCAGATATAACACTTTGAATTATCCACATGGAACCTAGTAAGAACGTAACAATATTTTAGTCCCAAATAAAATTTTAATATGTGTGTATGAATATTTTAATATATGTCCAGGGTGTCACAGTTCAAACGAAACAAGGCAATTTAAAGGCATTTCTGGTGTGAAAAGGACAAAACGTTGATACACGTCAACTTTATTTTCGAAGGGAAAATAAGATGCGACTATTTTTGAAGCCCCTAATATAAACCCCACGCAGGGGTGACACCCACCCTTAAAATCTTAAATGTAAAGCGGGGTCGAGTAGCACATCATTTGAAAGGTTATTAAAGCATCTTTTCAGCGCCGCGCGCCGTCTCATTTTTAGAGTTTTTGTGGATTCGGGCTGAAAAATAAACTTTTCATAAATTGATGGTTCTTTAATATTTGATTAATTGTACAGAAATTGAAATGGGGTCTAAAATAATAAATTGAGATTAAAACAACAAGATTTTGCTTAATGAATAATACACAAAAAGTAGTACCCTGCTTTGAGACAATTACTTGATTAAATGTTCGAATTGAGCACCCCCTGCTTCCACGCACGAATACAGGTTCGTTTGAACTGGGACACCCTATATATTACGGTCTACTAATAAGAAAATGATATCTTTTTAGCCATCGATCAGCATGCCTTCATATTATGTCTGCCGAATATTATTTTCATTGCACAGTGAACAAGCGTTTAAGTGTTAAATCGGTTTTAACTTAAGTTACTTTGATCAAGTTAATTCAAGGGAGTGGCCAATACAATTCAACAAGCAAGCTGATTAAAATAAAATATTTTTATAATAATATAATACGTTTTTTTGTTGCTGATTTTTTTTTAAATAAATAAATTTTTCTTTTTAATAATAATAATAAAAAGAAGAATATCATGAAGTCTCTCAGGGTGTCTCACTTAAGAGGTAGAAAGATGCGCTTTTCATATTAGTCTAAGAGCTAGCAACGTTTTCGAGAAAGTATTTTAAGAAAGTTGTCTCTGATATATCTTTTATTATCCTCTCTGGAACAGCATGCGGCCCATCTTTTGGCTGCCGATACCCGTTGCGTTCACTTTTGTATAAAGGGTAAATTATCTGCAATTAACTTATTTTGATTCAAAAAATACATAGTTCTTCTATGTATACAGAATATGGGAACTCCTTGTATATTTTGTAGGTCTTTTAAAAAAGTGGAAAAATAAATTCCCTAAAAATGTTTTTTCTCAAAAACTATGCCATGTGGTTTTTTTTTTACAAGAGCCAAAAAATGTAGTAAATACTAGAGAGACCATTTTTCGCAGAGAAAATCTGTCATCGCTGGAGTTGGAAAATATTCACACTAAAATTGATGTAGGGATGGCGCTAGTTTTCACCCTTTCCGTACTTTTTCTTAATTTTTGGGAAAGTCAATGTTAAAGTACTTAGCAAAACATAGTCACTCAAAATCTCATTCGAATCGGAATAACCGTTCTTAAAATATCTTTTTTTCAGAAAAAAAGTTGTTATTTTTTTAAAGTTTGATACCGTCTAGCTGACAAAGCATTTTTGTATAGATTTAAATTGTGTCCAGTAAACTTATTTTGATTTCAAAAATACGTAGTAGTTCTTATGTCTACGGAATATTGGGACACCCTGTATACCACATCTCAAAAGTGGCTCACCCCTATAACTTTTTTATTTTTTCAAATTTAAAAATATAGTTTCAAAGTAAAGGAATTTTTCCAATTTTGGTCCGCGGTTATTTCCTCTATCCACCACCTGGTGTCGCGTCGGATGGGAGGTTGGGAGTTCTCCACACGGATTTTCTTTTTTGTTTTTTTTTTAATAATTTTTATATATTTTTTTTAGATTTAATGATATTTTTATTTGTGTTGTGTTAATCACGTACAAATTAGAGTATCACTAAGACCGGTATTACACTATCATCATTTTATGTTTTAAAAAAGATCTTTTATAAAAAATTTGACAGTGATATAAAGATTTTAAAATATGGGATATTTCACTGTCAATTTATTCATAAAAGATATTTTATAAAAAATATTTGATAGTGTAATGCTTATGATTTTTTTTTTATTTTGAACACCCTCTCCTAACCCTTTACCAATCCCCCCATCACTAAAATTTAATGGCCGGATTCCCACAGTATTTTATGCCGTATTTTTAAAAATTAACAATTAAAATATTCCCAAAAAAATTGTTAAAAATAATGATTTAATGAAAAAAATTGGCGCCAGGTGACACGTACAGCCAGCTTTATCTCAAAAACTACGGCTTCGACACACTTTAATATTATCTTAAGTTTTGTTTAAAATATATTTCCGTACATAAAAGGAGAAAACCGCGTTTTGCTAGCTCTTTTGTTTCTGAGTTATACTTTTTTAAACAATATTTCATTTTTTTTATTATTATTATGTCATTACAAATTTTGTTGCAAATATTATTCTTAATCTTAAATTGAAAACCGCGTTTCGCTAGCTACTGTAATTTTGGAGTTACGATTTTCTAGAATTTTTAACCCCCTCCCATGCCCCCTTACCAACCCCCCACCCCCATAAAAAAATCATGGCCAGATTCTCGAGTGCCATAGTATTTTTGTGCCTAATTTGGTTAAAATTGGTTTAGCGGTTTTTGAGTTATCGTGTTACAGACAGTCTTTTATGACCCAAATAACTCTTAACCTTATAACTTTTTTTTGCCGATCTTAATAGCCTACCATACCTGTTGGTATGGTCGGCTAAAAATTGAGATATGATTAAAAGTACGATTTGAGTATCTTTAAACACACCAGAACACGACACGAAAAATATTAGACGATCAAATCTATTTTTCCAAGGCTCCTTGATTAAAAAGTAGTGTTTTTAACACAGCCAAGGAACACCAGATTGAAATTTGAAATACGATTTTTTTAAAGCGAAAATGTCAAAAGTTGACATGTGATATGTTATTCTATTCAGAATGTCATTTTCTATCGAATAAAGTAAAAAAAATACCGACGGTGCCATTTAAAAATCAAAAGTTGTGGTCATTTCCGGTGAAACAGGAAGTGACCAGAAACTACTGATTACGTCAGTCAATCCTATTTTATGTCATATACTAACATACCAAATCTGGTTTTTTTATGTGAAAAAATAAAAAAAATATAGGAATAAGCCACTTTTGAGACGCACCCGGTATAAGATAATTTTATTTCAGATGCATTTTAGATGCATTTAAGCTGTTGTGTAGTGTTATATCTTTAAAAAAGTCGAAAAAGCTCAAAGATAATAAAATTATAAATATTAATATTTCCAGATGCCGGAGAGCGTAATTTTGCCAGCTAGCTACGTGACAATGGCTGAGGCTGAGCCCGACCTGAGTACGTTTGAAAATAAGAGTGGTTTAGCGGAAGACATGAAGTTCCTTGCTTCTATGCCAGAGCTATGTGATGTCACATTTCTGGTGGGTGAAACGAGAGAACCCGTTTGTGCAGTCAAAGCGGTACTAGCTGCACGCTCCAGAGTGTTTCACAAGATGTTGTATCAGGTATTTAAACTCCCTGGCACAAAATTCCGCCAGCCTAAAATTTTGACTAAGTTTGAGGTTTCATAACTTTTTAACTTGTAATTCCATTTTTATGATTATGGTACTAGTTTGTAGATAAATTTGTTGGCATTATTTTTTATTATTTTAATGGCTTATATATTTCGGTTATGTGGGCTTATACCGGGGTAAATCAAAACTTCGTTTTTTGCAATAAATTCAAAGCACTTCAAAATCTTAGATGTTTAACATTTTGTTTTTTGAATTATCCCATTTTCTTTATTCTTTTATGAGTTACACATTTTTAAATAAAATACTGATATTTTTACAATCTTTAATTTATTGAAAATGGAGCTCTCAGTGCCCACCATTATATTGAGGATATCCTCCAAGAAGTTGTCGTTCCATTTGCCCCTTTCATTGGAAATCAGTTTATACTGATGCATAACAATATAAGGGCCCACGTTGCGCGGGGTAACGAGTTAGGAGTAGTTAACGAGTACCTGAATGAGGTTGGACTACGAAGATTGGAATGACCTCCTGGTAGTCTCAATCCAACCGAACATTTGTGCGATGAACTTAAAAGAGCTGTTCGTCGTCGTCCTATTCCACCACAAACTTAGAGAGCCAGCTAATTAATGGAGGTTCCTTCGTTAATGCTAGCTTTAGCTCTTGTAAAGGATTTTCTTGCTTGATATTCATTAAGCTATAGATCAAGAAAGAATAACTACCCTTATTCATTCGATACGACGAAGACCTCGAGCTGATATTGCTGCGACAGGTGGACATACACGCTATTAAAATTATTATTATAAAATTATGGTTTTTGTCAATAAAAGAATCTCTGAAATAATAAAATATTTTACTTAAAAATCTTTATACCTCATAAAAGAATAGAGCAGCAGTTAAAAGACCATACCATAACTTGGTATACTGATGCTTCCAAAACCAATACGGGAACAGGGATCGGAGTATTTGGGCCGAGAGCTAAATACTCCGAACCAATGGGCACTTACCCTAGTATCCTACAGGCAGAAATCTACGCTATCGAAAGATGCGTACAACTTATATTAGATAGGAACTATCGGAAACAAAAATAGCCATCTTGTCTGATAATAATCAAGCAGCGTTAAAAGCGATCAACTCAGTATCAATCAATTCGAAATTGGTCAAAGAATGCATAGAGAAGCTGAATAAATTAGGCAAAGAAAACTAAAGTCCTCCTACTCTGAGTGCCTGCTCACCAAGGGATAGAAGGCAATGAAAAAGCAAATAATCTAGCTAGAAAAGGAGCGAACACTCCACTAACTGGACCAGAACCGTTCTGCTTTCCAAGTGGTAACCAACTCAAGGCGGAACTCAAGAACTTGGAAGATTCCATCCGCAACCTGGAATGGGAATCTTGCAACGGTCTAAGACACTCGAAGAAGTTTCTGAGGGCTTATGATCAAGAAAAATCACAGATCTTCCTGGGTTTAAGTAAGAACAATCTTCGGATTGTCACGGGGTTTTTAACAGGACACTGTCTCCTCAATGAACACCTCAGTAGATTGAAACTAAGAAGAAACGGCCAATGCAGATTCTGTGGGGAAGATGGGGAAACACCAGTACACCTCATCACTGAGTGCGCCGAGAAGACAACCATTCGTGCCATGAATTTTGGTACTGATATTGGAGATGGAGAACTACCCTCTATAAAACCGTCCCAGATACTGGCTTTTGTCAAAGCCCTGGGACTGTATGATGAGTTATAACTCAAGAAAGGGGGACACAATAGATCTGTAAGGTCGCAGTGATTAACCCCCCTCCCACTCATTCTAAATTCTAAAAATTCTAAAAGAATAGAGATAATGGGATAATTTATAAAATATAATGTTAAGCATACATCTAAGATCAGAGAAGTGTTTTTTATCAAAAATTCCCGTCTCATTTCTTCCACAGGCTGTTTTGAATTTATTTCAAAAAACAACGTTTTGATTTACCCCAGTATAAACCCACCTAACCGAAGAACATAAGCCATTAAAATAATAAAAAATGCCAATAAATTTATCTTCAGACTGATATCATAATCATAAAAATGGGATTACAAAATAAAAAGTTATGACACATCAAACTTAGTCAAATTTTTAGGGTGGCGGAATTTTGTGCCGGTGAGTATATATTAATTATTTACTTTAGAGGGTCTATACTTACTTCGCTATAAATATCGTAATCTTAAATCATACAGGGCGTTCAAAATTCTACGCCAAACTTTCTAAAATATAAAATAATTTGTCATTACCAATCAACATATATTGTAGCCACTGTGTTTCTTTTTTACTAAAGAAACACAGTAACTAAAACATATTTTGATTGGTATTGAAACAAAAATTAATAAGTATTAAAGTAATTTTAAACCGCTCGGCTCTCCCGAAAAACATAAAATAATGTGAAAAATATTTGAAAAATAATGTTACCAAGCTCTCCTGGTAATTGTGGTGCTAATAATTTCAAAAATAAAATAAATCATAACATTGCCTAATTTTATATCTGATAGTAACTAGTACTAATATAATTTTATACATTAAAAAAGTTTTTGATTTAAAGAAAGTAGAATTCTAATCTAGTATTCGAAAGTAGAAGTACAATATTACTAGTAAATGAGAACTATTAAATATAGTATGGTTTACATTTTTTTCTTTGTTCTTTTGTAAGGCTCCAAGTCCCCAACGAAAGAAAGATCCTCCACCAAGAGAAAACAAGTTACGCCTTTTCTTGAAAAGGTCTTCAGAACCTCTACTTAACTTGCAAAGCGCCTCCCAACATCAGGTAATGCATTATATAGCATTAACGTTATTATCTAGCTAGATTTTTTAAACAGAAATACCTAGTACCAGTCGTCAAATTATATTAATTTGATTCCTATATTATATTTATAAATCACATATTAATGTTATGTATTATATATAGATTTTAATAAATATGAGAATGTTAAAGTAATTGATATATATATATATATATATATATATATATATATATATATATATATATATATATATATATATATATATATATATATATATATATATATATATATATATATATATATATATATATATATATGTGTATATATATATATATATATATATATATATATATATATATATATATATATATATATATATATATATATATATATATATATATATATATATATTATACACATTATGCTGCATTTGAGATGTAGACATCTTATATTGTTTCTGCTTGGAGGAATAATGATTTGAAATTTTGTTCTGCATAGAATTATTAAAAAATATTTTCAATAAGACACTATGGAAATACCGGAAGTTGACAACAACTTTCTTATTTTAACCTAAATTCTCTGTAAAATTTTATGAGTTTTGATATAATATATATAATACCTAACAATAACCGTTTTTGGAAAAAAATTAAAATGTTTTGGACAAAAAAAAAACTCATTGTCAAAGAAATGGTATAACCTAAACGTCAAATGTAGTCATTACCACAGCCACTGTGACATAAATAGCAGACATGTAGCTATCGATTTCAAAAATTTAATTGTTCGAATGTCATATAATAATGGCCGCAGCTGTCATGGAATTGAGCGATTAAAGAATTATCATAAATCATTTTTTTTCAATTGAAAAACTTTTTTATTTCACTAGTGAAAAGGCTTTTCAATTTATTACTTTTTGTCTATTCATGTTCCTATACTTAAAATAAATCGTTTTTAAGTTATTTAAGATTTAGTTTTAAAGCGTATATTTTTCTTGATGTTAACCAGTAACCTATGACTTTAAAAGTCAAGTGGTATAAAACAATAGATCTGGCTATATCATATTGTGATACTTTGTTCCAAAAGCAGTATGTTATCGATCATCATTTTCAAGCCAAATTTGTACTGTTTTTTTTCGATCATACGTATATTATTACTAATATCAACTATTTATTAGATATATAAAGAGCAAAAATATGACATATATTTTTATAATTACACATTTTAAACTCTTAAGGCAGCAATATTTATAATATAGAAAATTCAAATAACTCGTTGTCTGACAGATGGAAGATAAATTGTCTGACTGTTTGACACTTAATGTCAAAAGAAGCTAGATAACATCAAGAAAAATATACGTTTTCAAACAAAATCTTAAATAATTTTAAAAAGATTTATTTTAGGTATAGGAACATGTATAGTTAAAAAGGAACGAATTGAAAAATCTTTTCACTAGTGAAATGAAAGAAGTGAGTTTCCATTTGAAAAAAATGATTTATGATCATTTTTTAATCGCCCAATTCCATATCAGCCACCGGCATTATTATATGACATTTGAACAATTGAATTTTGAAACAGATAGCCACATGTCTTCTCTTTATGTCATAGTGGCTGTGGTAATCACTAAATTTTACTTTTAGGCTATACAATTTTTTTTGACAGGCAAAAATTTCAAATATTTTTTTTTGAAAAACGATTAAGGTATAAACGTTTATAAATAAGTTTAACGTCAATATTCATACCATTTTACAGAGAATTTAAGTGTGTAATAAAAAATGGGGGCACCCACTTAAAATAAGAAAGTTGCTGTCAACTTCCGGTATTTCCGGAAGTGCCACCATATTGAAAATATTTTAATCGATAGATCTCGTTGTGAAACAATGATGTGCAAAAAATCTCCGATCTAGATATTATGGTTATCTAAAAACTTGCACATTTTATGCACGTTCAACCTGGGACACCCCGTATATCTACCGAGTTTCGCGACGAAATTAATTTTTTATCAGTATCGTTAAACAATTGTTTCCGAAAACCGCAAAGTGTATAGATTTTCTTGAAAATGGAAAAAAATGCGATTAGAGAAGTAACAACAAAGAAGTAAGTAAAAAATATAAAGAAATAAAAGTAAAACTCTTATTTCTTTATACAGGGTGTCCTAAATTCGAACCTCATTGGGATTTCGGAGTCTAAAATAGAATGGAGGCAAAGGGGGGCAATTTGTTGATGATCAAACAGTAGCCTTAAAAGTTTAAATATTCCGAATAATTCCGAAGAATTTTGGAGAGAGGCATTCAACAAAAAATACAATTTGAATAGATAACACAAATAATAGATAATACAAAAATAATAGATTATATAGAAGAATACAGTGATAAAATTTGAATATTAACGGCCCAAGCACAGTGTACAATTCGTTCTTAAATACAATTAAATTTCCAGCGCGATTTTTAAATATACTTAAGGCGAGTTACAAAAATAATCGTCATACCCATTCACACTTCTAGAAATTCTATTTGCGTATTATATAATTAAATATTAAATACATATACATACATACAGCCGTTACTCGCTGACGAGTATTCGACACACATAAAGAAAATGGTCACGCAAGGCGTTTTCTTTCATGAGCTTTTCTGTGACTGAAAAGCCCGATACGTGATGTTATCTGCCTACCGCACTCCGGACATTCAAAAATCTCATTGCTTTGTTGCCTCTCTACTTTTGGTTGCCGCTGTTAACTGAGTTTACAACCCTTCTCCATTGAGTTCTATTGTGAGCTGCTTTTTCCCACTCATTCTGCATGTTAATTCCCTTTAAATTTTCGTGGAAAATGTCCTTGTATCTTTTCAGTTGTCCACCCGGCCTCCTCTTACCGTCCACAAGCTCACCGTAAAGCAGAGATTTTGGTATGCGGTTTTCTTGCATTCTGCATACGTGACCAGCCCATCTTAAGCGGGATTTTGTGACCATGACTTCAATACTCTCGCAGTTAGATTTTTCAAGGACCGATACGTTTGAGACATGATGGAACCACCGGACTCTTAAGAGTTGTCTAAGGTGTCTCTGTTGCAACTTGTTCAATGCGTTCATGTGTCGGCGGTAAGGCACCCAGGTTTCGCTCCCATATATCATGGTGGGGATTATAATTGCTCGGTATACTGCAAGTTTTGTTTTTGTACTCAAGTCATGATTGTAGAAAACCCTGTCTTTTAATTTCCAGAATGCTCTTGAGGCGCTACTAATCCTGTGCTGAATTTCAGAGTCAATATTGGCCTTTTCCGAAATCAAACTGCCAAGGTAATTGAATTCCGCCACATATTCGAATAGTTCTTCTCCGATTTTTATAGCATTGTTGTGATCTTCCGGGGGAGTGCACATGATTTTAGTTTTGCCGATGTTCAGCTTAAGGCCCAAAGCCTCGTATGCCCAGGTATATGTGTTCAACATTTCTTGTAATTGTTGTACCGTGTTTGCAACTAGAGCGCAGTCGTCAGCGTATTGAAGTTCTGTGATAAATTTTGTACGTGTTTTTGCCCTGAGTCTTTTTATGTTGAACAGACCGCCGTCATATCTGTATCTAATGCCCAATCCTCTCTCCTGCAGTTTGCTGTCCACTATAAAGGAGAGCGCTGCCATGAATATGTTGAATAGGAGAGGCGCTAAGACACATCCCTGCCTAACTCCTGTATTTGTTAGGAATGGGTCGCTCAGTGATCCATGATGTGACACTCTTGACTTGTTGTTGTTATGGAGGCTTTTACACACTGTAAGAAATTTGTTGGGTACTCGAACTTTTCCATAATTGCCCAAAGCGCTCTCTGTTCACAGAGTCGAAGGCTTTTGTTAGATCGATGAATGCAACATAAAGTTTAGACTGCTGCTTTTTTACTTTTTCCTGTAGTTGACGGATGGAAAATATGGAATCGACGGTGCCGCGGTTGGTACGAAAACCCGTTTGCGATCCTGGGAGGATTTTTTTTCTATATATGGGTGCAGGCGGTTTGACATTATTTTTGCAAGAATTTTTCCGCCGATAGCTAATAGCAAAATTCCCCGGTAATTACCGCAGTCTGATGCACTTCCTTTGTTCTTAAATATATTCACTATATTCGCGTTGCGAAAATCGTGAGGTACCTCTCCGCTTTCCCATACGACATCAAAGAGAGCCTTAAGATGATCCATAATTTCTTTACTTGCACACTTATAGATTTCCGCCGGAATCGCGTCACAGCCAGCTGATTTGTTGCTGTTTTATGGAGGTCTTTATTTCTTGTTCTGTTATTGGGATGTCTAATACATCGAGGCTGTTATACTGAGGTATTGTGTTTAGTGCTTCCATATTGGGGTTGTTTTCTTGGTTAAGGATATGGCTGTAATGTTCTTTCCAGTGATTTCTGATTTGTTCTTCCTCTTTTAGAAGTTCGCCATTTTGAGCCATGATTGGGCAGCTTACCTTCTTAGTTGGACCGTATACTTCTTTTACAGCCTCGAAGAATTTACGATAATCGTGATGAGTGGCGTACTCTTGAATCTGATTCGCTTTTTGTGACCACCAGTTATCCTTTACTTGGCGCAGTTCTCTTCGAAGGGTGTTGTTGGCTGCTTTAAAGTTATCTACCAGTCTTGGATTAAGTGGATTTGCAGTGACGGCTTGATGTGCTCTATGCTTTTGTTCCAAAAAAGCCTGTATATGCTGTTGATTTTCGTCAAACCAGTCTGGTTGTTTCTTTTTGTTCGACTTTCCCAGTACTGCTTCGCTGGTTTTATGAATCGCATCCCTTAATTGTGTCCAGTCTTGTTCAGCTTCCAATATTGAGATTGAAGTTATCGGTGGAAGTGATTCTTTGATGGCTTCCCGGAGGGCGTCGGCGGTATTCTTGTTCTCTAGATCCCGTACGTTCAATCTGGTCATGTTGTTTTGCTTTTTACAGCGTGGATGTTTGGGTTTTAACTGGATTTTCATTTTTGAAATTAAAAGTCGGTGGTCAGTGCCGCATTCGGCATCTATTCTAGCTTTTGTGAGCCTAACATCTTTTAGATGCATCCTTCGAACGATTATGTGGTCCAATTGATGCCAGTGGCCTGATCTAGGATGTTTCCAGGTATCTTTAAACTTGTTCATCAACATGAACCACGTATTGGTGATGCAAAGATTATACTCTGCGCATGTTGTTAATAAGCGTTCACCATTGCTATTTGCGTTTTCCATTGTTTTCCCAATACGTCAGGCCATATTTCCTGTTGTTTGCCTACACGGGCATTAAAGTCACCTAGCAAGATGATTCGTTCGTGCTTTGGAATTCGTTGAAAGGCATTTTGTAATGCTTGGTAAAATTTATCCTTATCTTCAATTTTAGCGTCAAGGGTGGGAGCGTAGGCACTAATGTTGTTGACGTAAGTTTTGTCTGATATGGGGTACCTTAGGGTCATAAGACGTTCGGAGACACCAATAGGTACTTCTGTTAACTTGGTGGCGATTTCGTTTTGATCGCAATGCCTACACCATGAATTCTCCTGTGTGTTGCGGGATGACCTTTCCAAAAGAAGGTGTAATGCTCCTCAGTGAGACTACCTTCATCTGCAAAGCGTGTTTCGCTTAGAGCGGCAACATCTATATTTAATCGGTGGAGTTCCTGTGAGACCAGTGCTGTTCTTCTCTCTGGTCGATTTGAATATATTAAATATAATTCTATTAGTGTACAATAATTCAAATCGTTTTTCCTTCAAATAGAAAATATCCGAGAATGTCTTAAATGATGCATAAAAGGCTTAATTCCTAATATTAGATTATCACGGCTTGGAAAATGTATTCTAAATAATCCTTGTTATATATACATTTAGAGAGGCTTCACCCAGCAGCTGGCTCCTATCCAAGAGGTAACTGTCCATCCTTCATCCACAGTGCCCGTAATCTTGCTTAAAGTGCATTGCTCTTATAAAATTTAGTTAGAGTAATGTCTGCAAAACCTTTATTAGAAACTTAATTAGGAAAAATCTATCTACTATAGAAGAACAATAAACAATAAAATATCAATGTTGAAAATTTAAATCAAGTCATTTGTTATTTAACTCGTCCAATAAACTAATATATGTTATTTCATACTCAAGTCACATAAAAGTCATATATTTTATAATTTGGACATAATTTAGGAATTAAAAATATTTCTAATAAAGCACTTGCATGACATCCCTCAATTCTAAAACACATTCCTATATTTAAATTAGATATATAGCTAGTATAAGTTAATCATCTAAAGATATAAAAAGTCTTATGAACAAGCAGGCTTTAAATGTTGGCAAATAAAAATTCTTATAGAAAATTAGAAAATTTCGTTAGAATTAATTTACCTGTCAGCGTTCAAAGCCAGCTTGATCGTAAGGACTTTTTGGTCGTACAGTAGATTACCATATTATTTGTCTATATCTTTATTATTTATCATGTAGAATGTTAAAAAAATAATAACATATTTTTATTCAAATTCACAAATTTTTATTAAGACTAAAACTAGGTTAGCTTCTTAAAAAGAAAAAATCCCCTTCACTGAAAAATAAAAAAAATTAACTATACCTAAATACATTTATGCACAAATAAAAATATATAAACTCTGATTTGATACGAGTCCAAAGAATACTTGTTAATAGTAATATCACAGGTAAAAGTCTAATCAAAATACAATTTTTGAAAACATTTTCCTATTGTACAGAGTGTCCTATTTTGGTTGAAATCATACGGTGTCTCCGTTATTAGTAAAGATAGGAGGATGCGGCTTGCACAAACCTGTACCACTTTTTTGTCAAACGGAAGATGCTATAAACAAAATTTTCATAGCCCTCTTCGTTTCTGAGCTACATGGTCTTTTTAAAAAAATTACAATTCGAGACACCACCCATCTGTTATTGTGAAAGGTATCGAGAAGGTGAGAATTGTTTATTGTAGAACTTTTTACGTAGAATGCAGTGGCGTAGTCTATTTTTTACGAAAAAAATATTTTTGAAGATATGAACTAAAATTATGTTTTTTAAATGGAACACCCTGTATATTTTTAAATTATATGATTTGGCTTGCCGTAAGCTTCTCAAATATATATCAATCTATATTTATTTTCACTATTTACTGCAATATTTAAAAGTTTTCATCAATCATCGATCATGTTTACTAGTAGTCCATGATTGATAATAAAAGAAACTAAATAATTATTAAAAACTGCTAGATAATTATTAAAAACGCTATCTGTCTCTTGTTTTATTCTAGGAGCCACTAATAAATTCTTTATATATCAAGGAAACTTATAACTCTTTACCGCTATTTGTAAATTTGGAAGCTTCCGTACCGGAACTTTTAGATATTCCTTTAGCTAATTTACGTGAAATATACTTTCAGCAAGATGGGGCTCCCACTCACAGCTTTGAAAATGTTAGAATTTTGTTAAATTACTATTCCCCAAATCAATGAATTGGACCCACATGATGGCCGCTCTGATCCCCGGATTAGTTCTCGATTTCTTTATTTAGGGATTTTCGAAATATGAAATATATCGTGGTAACTACAACAATATCAAAGACTTGCAAAATGCTATCAGGCAAGCTTTTAGATATTTGCAAACCCTTCCCGTTATGTTAAATCCCGTTATGAAAAAAGAAAAAAATATATATTTAGAAATTCAGTGATAACAGTTTAAAAGTTAAATATTTCAGTCCTAAATATTTTTTATCTATCACGGGCCTACTAATAAGTAAATTATATCTTTTAAATACTGCAGTAAATAGTGAAAATAAATATAGAGTGATATAATATTTTTGAGCTCGTAGCGAGACCGATCATATTTATAAATTTATATATATTCTATTTAAGATAAACATAACTTTAGTTCATATTTTAAAAAATGTTGTTTTCGTAGAAAAATAGACTACGTCACTGTATTCTAGGTAAAAAAGCTCTAAAAGAATCAGTTGTCACCTTCTCGATACCTTTCACAGTAACGGAGATACGGAGGCTGTCCCAAATTGCAAAATTTTCAAAAAGACCCTTTAGCTCAGAAACGAAGAGGGCTATGAAAGTTTTGTTTACAGCTTCTTCCGTTTGACAAAAAAGTGAGACAGATTTGTGGAAACCGCACCCTTCTCTCTTCACTAATAACGGAGATACTGTATGATTTCAACTAAAATGGGACACCCTGTACAGTTTGTAAATTATTGATAATATAATATTTTCTCAATATTTAATTATGTCATGTATACATATACTATAAATAGATAAGTAAAAAATAAGTATTTTATATCTAACTAAATAAAAAAAACAATCATGAACTCGTTAAGACAAAGAATCAAATGAAAATAATAAAAATCTAGCCGAATATCTTTTCTAAAAAATACTTTTTACTGACAAAGACTGCTACTGTTATTTTTTTACAGAAAATTTATGATATTAAAGAATTTTTACTAATAGAAATAGTATTCTATCAATAAAATCAATTCTTTCAAACATAGTTCATTAATAATTGAAGGGTCGGCCGTAACAACGTTGTATATAACAAAAGAAGTGAATGGAATAAATCACGAAAAACCATAAGAGGTCATTTAGGTGATGATAAAACTTTTTAAACGTATTTAGTATAGTTTACTAAAGTTGCTATAACTATACTGATTTATAATTTTTAAAAATGCTTATTACGAAATATCCAACTATAGAGGTCATTATTGTGGAAAATGCATGTAACAACGTTGTATGTTCATGTAACTTACAACGTTGTTACACGTAAGCAATGTATATTAAATTAAAGCAAATGATTTTTTAATAAATTTACTTTATTAATAAAGGTTTTAAAGAAAGAACTTACATAACGCAAACATTATTTTCAAAAAACTGGTTTTACAAAATAAAATCTTAGTACTAGATAAATTAGGATATTGCTCTCCAGCATCTCTTGAACGTTTTCTCGCGTTTTGTTTCCAGTTCTCTATATTTAGTTCCCTTTTTTTCCCCTATTTAAGTGGGAAATATCCGCGGGTGAAAGTTGCACCGCCCTCTTACTAAGCACTTAAACGCACGTACAACGTTATTATCGGGAATGCAATGCAGGGGCACTGACTGAAGGTCGCCTTATTGCCAGACATCGGGCAAAATTTTTCGGTTCCAGTTGCGCCAATACATTCAAATATGCTTATAAAACGTTGTTTTAGGGAAACATCACATTTCAGCAAAATGTTATATACAACGTTGTTACGGCCGACCCTTCAATTCTATAACGTAAAAATTAGATTTAATCAAATAACTAAATTTCAACACACGTAATTACCACATTAGATAATCCTCACTACTCGTACCATATATTAAATGCATAACTTTATTGTATATGATCCGCGTATTTTTGTATAACTAACCTCGATATTTTTACTTTTTACTTATTTTCACAAACAATTTTGTATTATACTCGTCACTAAAATTGCACTATAATATTTTTTCTGAATAGATTTGTCACTCTATTTCATTAACATAAAAATAATTACTTACTTTATTTCTGCACCAGTGATAGAAAACACGCATGAAATATTAACCCGTACTTCAAATTCTAGTTAAACTATGTAAGAACTATATTTTCCAAATCATTTTTTCGTAATTGATTTGCATGATGTGATTAAACATTCCCTCTTTTGAATTCAAATTTATTTTGTATCATTATTATTAGTATTAATTATATTTTTCTATCTCTTAATACAGCCTCAATCCCAACAACATCAAACGGTTATCATTGAGGAATTTGAACCTGACGTTTTTCGACAGCTTATTGAGTACATCCACACCGGATGTGTTACGTTGCAACCAAGAACTCTTTTAGGTATTAATAATTATTATATCTACTTGTCCCAACTTCAAAATTTTAATTTTTTTATTAACTACCAAATTTCTCCTCAATATGTTGTTAATAAATTTCTCGTTCTGTAAGAGAATTTATTAATATACAGGATGCTACAAATTCGGAGTACGAGCATTGGTATCTCGATATACGTAACATGTACGAACATGGTTAAATTGGGGCAAAGTTGCGCTTTGGGATTAAAAAGGTTTTAAACATTTCAAGAATTGCATTTCAGAGTTTTCTGAAAAAAAAAACAATTTTTTCGGAAATCAATTTAATTTTTTCTTGTCGTTACTTTTTAGAAAATTAAAAAACTAATTGCACATTCTCATAGCTACTTTATTAGGGCTATCTGAGTATTTTTAAATTTTCAAATTAGCTGATAATTTGTGAGATACAGAGGTCAACTTATTTTTTTTAAATACGGATCTGCATTTTTTATTTCAGGTTTTGAAAGAACTCCTGAGTACAGTGATATGCCACACTTTATATTTTTACTTTTGCTTTGGGCAGCTTAACAACAATAAAACTATTTAAATATTATTTAAGATAATTTCAAGTCCGACTCTGTTTTTTTTAAGTTATTTAATCTGATTATATTTATTGCAACAATATTGTTATTTTTAACTTTCTTTATTGTGAATTTGAAATCTTAGTGTGCTATCTAATAATATTAATAATATGCTTATCATAGTTTTTATAAATAAATCAAATTCTACAAACTACTTTCTAATGCTCTACTTGCTCGAAAGGGTTACCACCCTCCCTACTGCATAAATTTATTTTTTGTTCAATTTTATTAACTTTCTTTTTATACTTCCATATATATCCAAAAACACTATCAGACAAATCTAAAAACGCTATCAGATAGCCCTAATAAAGAGATATATAGATATATATAGATAAAGATTATAGAGATATATAATAAAGAGATATATGAAAATGTGCAATTAGTTTTTTTATTTTCTAAAAAGTAATGACAGCAAAAAAATAAAATTGATTTTCAAAAAAATTCGTTTTTACAAAAAAAACTCAGCAATCCTTGATATTTTTAAAACTTTTTTATGACTTCTTGGTGAACATTCCAAAGCGCAACTTTGCTCCAATTTAACTATGTTCGTATCTATTACGGCTCCCGAGATATACCAATGCTCCTACTTCTTAACGTGCTTAAATTCTAGCACCCTGTATATTCTTCTTAAAAAAGGATATGCATAAAATATTTGTTATTCTGTTACAACGTAAAAGTACAGGGCGAGTCTTAAATAAATGCAAATATTTTCCGGGCTGGTAGATATCGATAAAAGAAACATATTGTCTCTTTACACTTTTTTAATATAAATCCAAAATAACCGAGATATTTTGCATAAAAAAATAAAAAAAAAAGATTTTTCGATTAAATTTTAATAATCACTGGATCTTTTCTGGATTTTCTTTCTTATAAATTTAATTTACTACCTATGTTGTCATATTATAAAGATTAACTAAAAATTTAAAAAAATTACAAAAAAATTCAAATATTTAATTTTTTTTCTTACGCGAAAAAAAACTCATAAGCTCATTTCTGGGATCGAAATATACTACCTCTACAATATTTGCACTTATTTAAGACTCACCCTATATAATAAATTACTAATTAATTGTTCTAAAATACATAAGCTATGAACTTTGTACGTTCCATTGCACAAGATTTTTGTTGTCCTTTAATATAAAGATAGTCTCTCAAGATTCTAGAACAGATTTTTCACAAAAAAACGTAAAAGAGCATACAGATACAGGGAACAAAGGCGAAGGAATAAAAGTAAAAAAAAAACAAATTAAGTAAATTTACCGAATAAAGAGTTTTTCAACACATTATAGAATGTTGTATTTTCTGAAGTGCTTTTACAATTTTTATATTTTCAAAATCGATGCACATACCAGGTATTTCTCAAAAGTGACTCACTCCTATAACTTTTTTATTTTTTTCAGAAAAAAACGAGATTTAATATGTTAGCATAATATGACAGATGTGGATGGATTGACGCATTCCATTAATTTCATTCGCTTCTTGTTTCACCGGAAATGACTATAACTTTTGATTTTTAAGTGGTACCCTCGGTATTTTTACTTGATAGAACATAACATTCTGAATAAAATGACATATCATATGTCAATTTTTGACATATTTAATTTAAAAAAAATTGTGTGTGTACTATATGCGCATATTTGAAGAGATACTTCTTCTTACTTCCGTCTATCTGTTTATCCGTCTGAGGACTCCATTCCTGTACCTCTATCCACGTGCCGAGTTTGGTTCAAATCAACCCATAATTAAGAAAAATCCTGATGATTTCGTCCATTTAGGGGCTTCGGTTCGAAACGTCGATTGCGTCATCCTGTAACCCGTAATTACGCCAAAGTCGACCCACATTTTTCTTCAATGTCAAATCCTTAGTCCCACTCTGATGAAGATTTAAACGAAACGTCGTATCCAACTTTGCAGAGTGGGACCGTGTGCACCGTCGCTTACATATAGTCTACCCACCAAATTTGATCGCAATCGGACGACATCAACTTTTGACGTTTCTTAAATTAAAACTAATACAGTTATTGTCAGAGCTACCCGTGTCATACACGGTCATTTCATTTAAATCGAACGATTTTTTGATTTTATTCATATGATGATGGGTTTTCGTAGTGCCACGTCGTCAAAATATTATGAAAATATGGAGCTCTTCGAACTCCATCTACATATCGTTTTAACCTCCTAGCTCACATAGAGTCCGAGTAACAACGCACCAAGATCGTTGCTACTTTGGCCTTAAATTTTCACTCCCATTGCGCATAAAGATGTTTCACTTCAAAGATTGCAATATAAATTGCAATCTAGAGTATCATGGTCATAAATGTAACGATAATTTGGCTCCAAATAAAATACCAAGTAAATACTTTTCCAAATATGCTAATGAGCTATTCTAGTTCCATTTGAATAAAAAAATAACTGAGTTATGATTAAAAATACGATTTTGGCATCTTTTTGTCCTGCCAGAAAAAGACACAAAAACATTAGACGATGAATTTTATTTTTCCAAAGCTTCTTCATTAAAAATTAATGGTTTTAAAACAGCTATGGCACTCGCGCTATGGAAATTTAAAAAGCTATTATTCCACCGTCACGCCACTGATGGAGTGAAATGACAGAAAGACAGACGAAACTCAACCGTGTTGTCATATTTATGTACCCATCTCTTTTTAACTCTCATAAAAGTGCCAAACCATGTATGATTCTAAAAAATTGAGTTTTATGAATGGAGTGTTCTGTCTACCTATATTTAGATGTCTTTGGTGTGTACCATTTAAAAATCAAATGTTGCAGTAATTTCCGCTGAAACAGGAAGTGACCGAAAGTAAGGAAAAACGTGAATCAATCAATCCCGATTTATGTCATATTTTCGTTTTATAATCTTAAAAAATAAAAAAGTTTCACAAAAGGGTCACTTTTTATAAACATCCGTTATACCTATGTAGAATATAGAATGTTTTTTTTAGTTTCAATTATTGTTTGATCTTATGAAATATATTTTAAGTAAATTTAATTCTTGTTTTGAGGCCAGGTCTAAATAAATATTCTAGAGATTAAATCCATTAATTATTATTTATTGACAAAAAAAATGATTTCATGACGTTTCGACCATTATCTTGGTCTTTTTCATAATGAATAATAATCTTCTACTTGTTCCATCCTGAACGTAGATTTGTTACTTTTCGTTAAAACTTATCCTAATTTTTAAAAGTAAATAAAACGTGCACACACAGACAACATATGTATATACAGGTACATCATTGAATTTTAACTACTTTTAAGCCCGATAGACAGCTATTCCAGCACTGCTTGATATAGTTTACTCAGTAGTAACTAAGTAGTAGTAACGTGTAAACTATATCAAGCAGTGCTGGAATAGCCGTCTATCGGGCTACTTAAAAGTAGTTAAAATTCAATGATGTACCTGTGTATATGTGGTCTGTGTGTGCACGTTTTATTGACTTTAGGAATTTATTGAATTAGTATAAGTTTTAACAACAAGTAACAAATCTACGTAAGTTATGGTCGAAACGTCATGAAATCAATTTTTTTATCAATAAATAATAATTATTGGATTAAATCTCTAAAATATTTAATTACACCTGACCTTAAGCCAAGAATTAAATTTACTTAAAATATAGAATGTTTAGGGAGGAGGGGAGTTAATCACCGCGACCTTACAGATCTATTGTGTATTCCCCTTTCTTTAGTTATAACGAGTTATAACTCACCATACAATCTCAGGGCTTTGACAAAAGTCAGTATCTGAGACGGTCTACAGAGGCCAGCTCCCCATCTTCGACATCAGCCGTATCAAAGTTTATGGCACTAATGGTTTTCGTCTCGGCGCACTCAATGATGAGGTGTTCTGGTGTTTTCCTATTTTCCCAACTGAATCTGCATTCGCCGTTGTCTCTCAGCTTCAATCTACTGAGGTGTTCATTTAGGAGACAGTGTTCTGTTAGACACCCGGTGGAGAATCCGAAGATTGTTTTTACTTAAATCAAGAAAAATCTTTGATTTTTCTTGGTCATAAGTTCTGAGGAACTTTTTCGAGCTCAAAAATAATAATATAATATATAATAACCTTAATTACTTACAATAATAAATTTTCTAATAGAAAACTTTTAACAACTTTTGACTTAATACACATATTTTTAAATTGTTAGGGTTGTTGAGGTTCTTCAGTTCCACTTTAAGTTGGTTTCAAGTTGGCTTGGAATTGGAAAACAGAACGGCTCTGGTCGTAACCACCGTAATAAGGCCGGTCAGCTTATTCGTGACGTCATCAACTGGAGGCCTAAACTTTGATTGCATTTGATACACTTTAGGCTAAAAACATAGTGGCCATAGACTTAAAATAAAATATAGACTACACTATTTACATCTCAACGCGGACAAACAACCTTTTTTGTACACATGTTTACTTCTGGGTACAGTCGACCGAGCCTTCCTCATCCAGCCTATGTTGTCACGTCTTTAATATTATCAATATTTTTTTTCTTGTTATACACATATATTGGATATTAATACTACAGTTTAATAAAGTAGGTTTTAATATTCCATAGATGTATTAAATAGTCCTTATACTACTAAATTATAAGTCGGATACTGTTTAATAAGGATAAGTTCTTTGCAATATGACAACACCGATTAGAGGCGAGGGAGCCTATTCATTCATTTATTATCTTGTAGTACGTGTCGCACGTGTGCGGTAAAGCTTTGTTGCCGCTATCTCCCTGGCTGTATTAACGCATTTTCTTAGCTTGTAGTCCTTAAGTGTTTATTTTATTGACTTTTTGTGTTCAAAAACTATAAAATATGGTTCGCCAGTGCCAAATTTGCAAGAAATTTGACTTAAATAATCCATTTAAGTCTTGAAACGACTTTTTGACCGGTAGGCAACTCTCAATTTACCCATTGGCAGTCAGTGGCGTTGTTGTAGAAAGGCGCTTATTTAGATAATATTTTAGTAAAATGTAAAATCTGAATTTTTTCTTTTACATTACATTATTTACTTACTTACATTGTAACAAAATCATAATTATAACCCTGTTAATAATTAATAATGTTTTTATTAAAAATATATTCCGGTTTATTCTAAAATTATCTTCAGAATCTAAAATAACATACAAGAATTTTAAAATGATATTACATTATGAAACAATATTTTTTAATATACCGGGTCGTCTCAAAAGTGGCTCAACCCTATAACTTTTTTTTATTTTTTCAGATAAAAAAACAGATTTGTATGTTAGTAGGTATATGACATAAATTAGGATTTATTGACGTATTCAATTGTTTTTGGTCTCTTCCTGTTTTACCGAAATGATTACATCTTTTTATTTTTAAAGGCACCCTCGGTATATTGCTACTTTATTCGATAAAAAATGACACTCTGAATAGAATGACATATCATATGTCAACTTTTGACATTGTCGCTTAAAAACATATCCTATTTTAAATTTCAATCCAGTTTTTTTCAATCCACTAAGTTTTAATCAAGGAGCCTTGGAAAAATAGTTTTGATCGTCTAATAGGTTTCGTGTCTTGTCTAGGCCGGTTAAAAGATGTACAAATCGTATTTTTAATCATACATATGTCAATTTTTTCAAATGGAACAAGGGTGACTCATTAGCATATTTGGATAAAGCATTTTTTATGAATATATTGATACCACACACTTGGTATTTCGAGTCAAATTGTCGTTATGAACCGAGTGTTACAATTACAATTAAACCATATGCGAAAATGTCAAAAGTTGACATATGATATGTCATTCTATTCAGAGTGTCATTTTCTATCGAATAAAGTAGAAATATACCGAGGGTGCCGTTTAAAAATTAAAAGTTATAGTCATATCCGGTGAAACAGGAAGTGACCAAAAACAATTGAATGCGTCAATCAATCCTAATTTATTTCATATACTAACATACTATATCTTGTTTTTTTATTTGAAAATATAAAAAAATTATGGGGATGAGCCACTTTTGAGACGCACCCGGTATTATAAAGACAGTACCGAGTTAAATAAATGTAGTTTTTATTTTATCCACTTCCTATCACCTTCCTTGCTTTAATGGAACAGATTTATGTTTTCTCTAATTTACATAATAAGACATCACTTTAGATACACATATACCAGAAAAACACACACACCAGAAAAAAAATTACAACAATCATATTTTTTTTCTCTCCCTGTCGCCGATTCTATTATATCTGTGGAATAGATCCTGTTTTGATTAATATTAGGGGTTGTAAATGTTTGACTAAAATTAATAATTTATTATTAATTTCAAAAATTACCTAATTTCGATTATAAAATTTCTTCTATAACATGTATTTTATTATTTTTATCCTTTTTGGACTCTAAATTGTTTTTTCTAAACTTTTATTTAAAAAACCTGTCCTAAATCTTAATAAAATATAAAAAAGTTTAAATACGATATATTTTTAATTTAATTATAGCTTCATTAAAAAAAAAGTTACCCGGCTATGATACGGAGAGTTCAGGTGTACTTGAGAAACGAAAGACAGTGTTGTGTTTCTCGGCAGAGTCGTCAGGGAACGACCGTTACGACAGAGACAACCTATCTATCGCTCGTGTCGCACTCGTTATAACCTAAAACAATAACACAACAATAACAAGACAGTGTCTGACCGCATGTTCCAGCTATTTATGAATGAGATGCTCAGTCTATATTTTATTTTAAGTCTATGATAGTGGCGCGACGAGGAGAGCGGCGAGCAAGCAGCGCGATATCGCGTCGATTGAGCCTCGAGGTGCTAAATCATAGTAGAGCGGCGAGCAGATCGCTTTACTATGTTCACGCGTACTTGTCTTCACAGGTTTGTTTTGGACGCGACGTCGCGCTGCTTGCTCGCCGCTCTCCTCGTCGCTCCACTTTTTTAGCCTTATACGTATATAATGGATAAAAAAACTTTAATTGCACCGAATTTTTAATAAATAATAATTAAACATAAGATTTGAAAAACATCAGATTGATATCCCATCTCACATATTTCATCGTCATTGTATTTATTTATGCTGTAAGTGTGTCTAAGTTTCTTTTATTTCCCTTTCCAAGTCTATCATTATTTTTTAACAACAGTAGTTTTTCAGACGTGTATTTCTAATAGAATTTATGATAATTTTTACAATAACTTAGCATTATAAATAATACATTGCGGAAATTTTAATAATGGTGTTATTACTTTTAATGTAATCCAAAGATATTTTTGATAAAAATATTTTTTTATTGTGAATTTTGAGAAACTCCTCATGGCTTTGCAAGACTTTGTTAAAAATTATATATTCAAATAAAACTATATTAGTTATTTCATCTTTTGGAAACCCAAGACTGCCTTTAGTAAGGTTTTTTATAAGTGAATTTTGTTCAATATCAGTGTTGTCTGAAAATGTTAAATTTTTTTTTAGGGACATTAATGACTGAATCTTAAGTTTCTTTTCGCCTTCATATAAATGTCGAACACAAATACTGTACTGACTCCCGGCTAACTGTTTATATTTTCCAAACCTACTTTCAAGAGGATCAGTTTGTAAGTTGTCTAGTAAAACATACCTCATATTTTACTCATTAAAACAATATTTTATTACTTCAACCTCAACCTGTTACTCAACTCAAGTTAATAACTTTAATAATGAGCACAGATAAAAGTTAGAAATTCTTTATTATTTTCATAGCATTTTAAAGAATTTAGTAAATAACAAGCATGACTAATAATTTGATCAGTATTACTATCACGGTTCAGAAAACTACCATGTTACTCTTAAAAACTACATAAACTACATTACATGTAGTTAATCGATGTAGAGGATGTAGTTTATGTATCTTTCAAATATGAAAGGTTTGAGGTGAGGTAAAAGATAAGTAAAAGCTTTAGAAAATACATATAAATATATCTGAGAAAACAGAAGAAATATAGCTTTAAATATAATATTCACATCTTATTATTTAGACATTATAAGGCATTATACCTTTTAAATTGTATAATTTCACACACTTATAATCACTTTATAGTTTAAACACCTCTTTTTACAGATTTATAACTTTTTTCACTCTTCTATTATCGATTATAATTACCACGTCCGCACACCTACCGATAAATCGATGACTCAACTGCAGCAATACCACTCCGCTACGCGCTACGATAGGCGCCGCCACGCGACGCCGCCCCGGAGCAAGGGGCATGAATTTAATTTCACTCAAAATGAGTTATTTGGGTCATAAATGACCTAAACCTGTCTGTCTGTCTGTCTGTCCGTCTGTAACACGATAACTCAAAAACCGCTGAACCGATTTTAACCAAATTTGGCACAAATGTGGCACCCGAGAATCTGGCCATGAGTTTTTGGTGGGCTTGGGGGGTTGGTAAGGGGGTATGGAAGGGGGTAAAAATTTTAAAAAATCGTAACTCCAAAATTACAGTAGCTAGCGAAACGCGGTTTCCAAATTAAGATTAGGAATAATATTTGCAATAAAATTTGTAATAACATCAAAATCAGTCAAAGTCGCAGTTTTCGAGATATTAACATATTTTAGTATGTGCGGCTATACATGACTCCCGTGCTTTTTTTTTCTCATATTATACACTATTGTGAACTTAAAATATTCCTTTATTAAATTTTATTGATAAACAGTGAGATATAAACATTTATTAACTGGTATGATTTTTTTCCGTATTCTATTAAAACTATTTTTATATACTATAATATTTTTAAAAACTCGGAAAAGACATTTTAAAACTTCGAAATATATCTGGCGAGTGAAAAAAGATCCACAATTTGAACTTTTATCGGGTAATTATCAACGCTGCTAAATAGAGTTGAGCCTCCAGTTGATGACGTTACGAGATTTTTACGTCACAGCTGTTCGGCCTTGTTATTACAGTGGTTACGCTCTGGTCCAATTAGTGGAGTGTTTGCTTCTTTTCTAGCTAGATCGTTTGCTTTTTCATTGTCTTCTATGTGAGCAGGCATCCATAGTAGGAGGACTTTATTTTTTTTCAGAATTTGTTCTGCTTCTCCGGTATACTTTTAAACATAAATCATATTCTCAACCTTTCTTTTTCGTGTTTTTTATGTTTTGTCAACTAACCCTATTTTCACATTTTTAAAGGGCAATTGTGCAATTTCCCACCATAACAGGTTGTGTCACAGCTAGATATACTGAATAGATTCCGCAATCTTTTTTGATATATTATTTTCTCATTTGTTGCAACGTTGTTAGCGCGCACTGTATAAAATACATATTAATCTATTGTAAAAAAATAAATTTATTTTCTATTTAAATTAATTTTATTTTTTTACTAAATTGCTAGGTGTGATGAACGCTGCTGATTACTACGGTCTCGACGAATTGAGAAGAGCTTGTGCCGGATTTGTTCAATGCTGCATCAATGTTGATACCGTCTGTGCTCTTTTAGCTTCAGCAGAAAGATATATTCAATACAAATGTACCAAATCTCTTGTGCAAAAGGTAAAATATTTATAGTTCTCATATTTATTTTATACAGGGTGTCCCAATTTTCCGTGGACAGAGAACTCCTGCATATTTTTAGAATCTAAATAAGTTCATTGGACAAAATTTACGTTTATACAAGAGTGCTTCGTTTGTCCGTTAGGGGGCATCAAACTTTAAAAAAATAAACGCATTTTTTGAGATATTTTAGAAACCGATATTCCGATTTGAATGAGATTTGAGGTGCCTATGTTTTGCTAAGAACTTCAATGTTTGACTTTCACTAAAATCAAGAAAAAGTTCGGGAAGGGTAAAAACTACCCCCACCCCTATATAAATTTTAGTAAAAATATTTTTCTACTCCACCGACCACTGATTTTTATTTTTGTAAAATGGTCCTCATAGTATTTACTACATTTTTTGTCTCTTGTTAAAAACGCCACATCTCATAGTTTTTCAGAAAAAAATTGGAGAATTTTTTTTAAAAGCGGACCTACAAAATATACAGGGAATTTCCATATTTCGGAGACATAGAAAAATAGATAGTGTTGTAGGTATTTGAAATAACGAAGTTTTTATGTAAAATGTACACAAGTGCGAAGAATTAAATATGAATATCTCGAAAATACTCGAAAAAATTTCAGTAAGCGTGAAATATGGCAAACACTTAATAACTTAAATGTACATAAACGCAATAATACTAAAAAAAATCCAGACAATCTTAAAGATGTGAACACAATAAATCGCCATTTTGTAGACTCTATAGAGGCTCTGAAATGTGTGACTGATCCTGTTACTGTTAACTTTTACAATAATAACACATTAGCGCACGTGAAAACATTTCAGTTTAATAGCATTAATGAAGCAGATCTGCTTGATGCCCTTGCTAGCATTAAATCCGTTGCAGCAGCCTGCGATGGTATATCTCTATTAATGGTTAAATTGTGCTGTCCTTATATTGCCCCCTACCTTGCTCATATTTACAATTGCTGTTTAAATAATAGCTATTTTCCGATTAGTTGGAGAAATGCAATGATCATACCCTTGCCAAAAATTTCCAATCCTACAAGTTTAAAAGACATTCGACCTATAAGTAAATTGCCAGTTTTATCAAAAATATTGGAAAAGTTGATATATAGTCAAGTTTTAAATCATTTAACTAAACATAATTTAATCCCTGATTGCCAGTCAGGATTGAGGAGTAAATATGGTACTTCTGCCGTTTTAGCTAAAATTTTGGATGATATATTAACAGAATTAGATACAGGTAAGGGTGCAAGTCTGCTTTTATTAGATTATACTAAGGCATTTGACACCTTGGGGCATGATCTTTTACTGGCAAAGCTTCATTATTACGGGTTTTCGGAAAATGTTGTGGAATTGGTTGGCAGTTATTTGTCTAATAGATGCCAGTGTGTAGTTCTCGATGAGGCTCAGTCGGATGCTTTACCGCTTTCTAGGGGTGTACCTCAGGGTTCCATTTTGGGACCACTCTTGTTCCTTATTTACACCGCTGATTTGAAAAATAATGTTGTGGATTGCGAACTGCATCAATTTGCCGATGACACGCAAATATATGCAACTTACACTGCTGAAAATGCAGCAGCTGTTTACAATAATATTAATTCTGCTCTTGAGAAAATAAGTAAATACTCATTGAATCATGGTCTTCAGTTGAATCTTGGCAAAACTCAAATGATTTGTTTTGGTAGGGTACCCTTAGCAAAGGGATTATCTGTTAAACTGAATAACGAAATAATCCATCCATTAAAAACTGTCAAGAATTTGGGTTTGGCTCTAGATTGTGATTTGAGATTTCGAAATCATGTCAATTCGATTGTGCAGAAAAGTTATACAGCATTGAGGGGATTGTATAGGAATAAAAATATTATGAGTCAAGCATTGAACGTAGCCTATGTGACAGTTTGGTTCTTAGCCATGCCAACTATGCTGACATTGTCTATGGACCTTGTCTTGATGTGCACTCCTCTTCCAGAATACAGAAGATTCAAAATTCATGTGTACATTTTATTTGTTCTCTGGATAGAGGGGAGCATATCTCACCTTGGCTTAAAGAATCGAAGTGGCTTAATATGTATGAACGCCGTAGACTGCATTTGGCTACCTTTGTACACAATCTAATTAAATTACAGACACCATTATATTTAAAATCTAAATTAAAACTGCGCCAAACTGTTCAGAGCAGAGACACTCGAAATATTAATCAGTTATATCTACCTCAATATAAGACCTCTTTATATCGACGATCATTTACGTATTCTGCGGTCTCGTTATATAATTCCCTGTCAAGTGCTTTAATAGCTAAGTCCCTCGGTTCATTTAGATCGGGGTTCAGAGATTTATTATTCCATAATTGGAGTTGAGTATACTTTTTGAAACCAGCTATGCCTCTCCTTGGCTCTCTCTTCATCAACACCAATACATGCCTGTTGCCTTATGTTATTGCATAATGTACTTATAAGTATTAATTGTTCTCTATGTGTGCTCTATGTGTTACACTTAATAGTTTTGTTAATACTTTATATTTTTTTGTATTTTTCATTGATTTTTTTTGTTATTATATTTATACATTTGATATATTAATTTAAGATAAGGTAGTAGATATTGATATTATTTGTTAGGTTATACTGTAATGGTACTCGGTTAACTAAGCAGTTATTTACTGAACTTCGGCGAGGATTATTAAAATAAATAAATATATATTTAAAATAGACCAGCAATTTTTGATACCCTTGTATACATTTAAGGAAGCAATACATTTTTTAGTAAAGTTTATTTTTCTGGCTTTAAAGTCAATACAAGAATTAACTTTGAAAAGTAATGTACAGGGTGTCCCATTTTGGTTGAAATCATATGGTATCTCCGTTATTAGTGAAGATAGAAGGGTGCGGTTTGCACATACCTGTGCCACTTTTTTGTCAAACGGAAGATGCCGTAAACAAAATTTTCTTAGCTCTCTTTGTTTCTGAGCTACAGGGTCTTTTTGAAAATTTTGCAATTTGGGACCCCTCCTGTATCTCTGTGACTGTTAAATCTATCGAGAAGGTGAAAACTGTTTATTGTAGAACTTTTTACGTAGAATACAGTGGCGTAGTCTGTTTTTCTACGAAAAGAATATTTTTAAAGATACAAACTAAAGTTATGTTTTCTTAAATGGAACACCTGTATATTTATGAATTAAATGATCGGACTTGCCATAGGCTTCTCAAAAATATATAACACTCTATATTTATTTTCATTATTTAATGCAATATTTAAAAAAATATATTAAAAGATCATATTTATTAGTAGGCCATGATTGATAATAAAAGAAACTAAAGAATTATTTAAAGTAATATTGCTATCTGTCTCTTGTTTTATTTTGAAAGCCACTAATTAATTCTTTGTATATTAGGGAAACTTAAATCTCTACCGCTATTTGTAAATCTTGGAAGCTATCTTATTGGAACTTTTAAATATCCCCTTTAGCTAATTTACGTGAAATATAGTTTCAGCAAGATGGGGCTTCCCCTCACAACTTAACTTACAACGAAAATAGTAGAATTTGGTAAATTATTATTTCTCAAATCAATGAATTGGAACCAATATGATGACCTCCCTGATTCCCGGATTTGTCCGTTCTCGATTTCTGATTTTAGGGATTTTTGAAATATGAAATATATCGTGGCAACTAATATATAAACATACAATATCGAACACCTGGAAAATGCTTTAATAATGCAAGCTTTTAGATATTTGCAAACCCATCCCATTATAATAAATTCCGTTATAAAAAAGAGGAAAATATATTCAGAGGTTCAGTGGTAACAATTCAAAAGTAAAATATATTAATCCCAAATAAAATTTTAATATGTGTATGTCTATTTTAGTAAATACCATTTTGATTTTGTTATTTATCACGGCCTACTAATAAGAAAATGTATATTTTAAATATTGCAGTAAATATTGAAAATAAATATCAAGTGATATATATATATATATATATATATATATATATATATATATATATATATATATATATATATATATATATATATATATATATATATATATATATATATTTGAGAAGCTCATAGCAAAGCGGATCATACGACTTATAAATATACAGGGTGTTAAACCTAACTTTAGTTCATATTTTCAAAAATATTTTTTTCGTAGAAAAACAGACTACGCCACTGTATTCTACGTAAAAAGTTCTACAAGAATCAGTTTTCATCTTCTCGATATCATCTATAATAACGGAGATACGGGGGTTGTCCCAAATTGCAAAATTTTCGAAAAAACCATGTAGCTCAGAAACGAAGAGAGCTATGAAAATTGTGTTAACGGCATCTTTCGTTTGGCAAAAAAGTGGCACAGGTTTATGCAAACCGCACCCTTCTATCTTCACAAATAACGGAGATACCGTAAGATTTCAACTAAAATGGGACACCCTGTCCAGGGTGTTGACAAATTTTTGATTACAGCATGTATTTAAATATCTTTAAACATCAAAGCATTTAAACATATTAAACCCTTATAATAAATGCCTTATTTTATTCCCAAGAATCCAAAAGTGAAACAAAATACCAGGTGTTCCATAAGAAAAAATATAACTTTGGTATGGACACATCCTCCAGTTCTGACACATCCTGTACATTTCAACAAAATAAAGAATTTTGTTCCTACATTTTTCTGTTTTCGTATAACCAACTGAGGCGAATGAGGTGCGCTACCCTGTATATGTGAATAAGCATTTTTTGGAAGTCGGAAAAATATATGTTTTCCTCAAAAAGTGAGCGCGGTGGCAATTTTTTACAAGAGACAAAAAATGTAGTAAATACTATTTTGCAAAAAAAATCTGTTGTCGGTGCAGTTGGAAAATATTTCTACTAAAATGTATGTAGCGATGGGGTAGTTTTCATCATTCCCGTACTTTCTCTTGATTTTTGTGAAAGTCAAATGTTAAAGCTCTTAGCAAAACATAGGCACCAAATCTCATTCATATCGGAATATAGGTTCTTAAAATACTTTAAAAAATATCTTTATTTTTTTACAGTTTGATGCCCTCTAACGGACAAACGAAGCACAGTTGTATAGAGGTAAATCGTGTCCAATGAACTTATTTTGATTCCAAAAATACGCAATGGTTCTATGTCCCCGGAATATCACTGTATATGTTTCGAAATAGACAATAACCAAAAACAAATGAAATTGACATTATCAATTGACAATATTAATTATGTACCTTACATACAATAATATCTTTTCTAATAGCAAGCTTTTTAACAACTCTATTTTATTTCAAACTATTATTTTATTTTTGAAAATAAAGAAAACCAATCATGATTCATTATATAATTCACAAATAACATTTAGTGTTCAGATGGAAGGTATGTCTTAATAAATCAGTTATTTTATGATATTTCTTTTAACCAACCTTATCAACCTTCTACATTCACTTGTTAAATGCTGTTATTTATTTTAGGTTCTTGAATTTGTTGACGAACATGGAAATGAGGTTTTAAATTTAGGTTCATTTACTTTGCTACCTCAACACGTTGTTCGATTAATCCTAGCAAGGGATGAATTACAAGCTGACGAATTTACTAAATTTCAAGCTGCTCTGATGTGGGGTAAGAAGACATATATCGCGTTAAATGATAACTTTAATTTGATTTTAAATAATATCCAATTACAAATAAAGGCAAAATTAGTTTTAAAATAGAAAAAACTTTTTAGGACTTGCACAGGGACAAAATGAGTTTAGTTATTCAGGTTAGAAGTTTTAATAACCCTGTAGAATATTTTAATGATTAATTGATGTTATGCATATTTGTTAAACTAATACTATTAATACTATTAATAGCTTTCATTTCTTTCTATTATAATTCATTAAAAATTATCTAACCATACACAATATATCTAAATGAAAAAAAAAACAGCTTGTCAGAGTACAACGCAAATATTAAAAAGTCATATTTGTAGTTTATTACTTCATTTTCTTTTAGAATAAGCCAGATTTAAGAAAACTAAATATTCATGTACTGATTTATTTCAGGAAAGAAATACTGTGATAACAACTCAACTACAAGTTTGAAAGATGTAATTGGTAACTTTTTGGAATACATACAGTTTCACAAAATTCCAGCTAACGTTCTAATGAGGGAGATTCATCCTTTGGGTCTGGTTCCTTACAGCATTATTATGAATGCTTTGGCATATCAGGTTCAGTATTATTATTCATATTTTTATGAATTTAATTATTACAGTTCCATATTACTTTGCAATTCTCTTATTCCAATTTTAGTTTTACGAATAGGACCAATCTAATATAAAACACTAAATCACCACAATACACCAAAACACTTTTACTTTTACACTGGACGCGCGTTTCGCTAACCATGTTAGCATCATCAGCAGATGATTATAAACTAAAATACAATCTACAATTGGAGCGTTTATACACTCGCTCAGTGGGCACAGAGTGGGCGTGGCAAGATCTAGCCAACCGAGTCAGAACCCACCGAGCGTAACAGTTAGATTTCCGCCACTAGAGTAGTAGGAATAAAGAACTTGAAGGAATTGGACCGTTGTCTCTGTTCATACTATCTTTACATTTATTAATTCTGATGCTTTCATATGCATCTAATTGCCTGTAATTTGAGACTTGTTTAAGTAATTTTAAGTTATTAAGATCTATACAATGTTCTTTATCAACAATATGTTCGGCAACGCAAGATTTATCAGGTCTACCATATCTTATCTGAGCTAAATGTTCTTTAAATCTAGTTAATATTGATCTTCTAGTTTGCCCAACATATTTCTGATTACAATCTTTACAAGAAATTTCATAAATACCCGACCTTTCCAGTAGAGGTGTTTTATCCTTTGGATTACCTAATAATTTTTGAACAGCGGGAAGGTACAGCAATGGGTAATCCATTGTTTCCTTTTTTGGCTAATTTATTCATGAGCAGGTTTGAAGTGGAGGCTAAGAATCAGTTTGAATATTTTCCAAGAGTATGGTTGAGGTATGTGGATGATATTTTTACTGTTTTTGACACACATTCAGACACCATAGATAATTTCATTTCTAAGTTAAATAATCGTTTTCCTTCCATTAAATTTACACATGAAATTGAGAACAACGACAGATTACCATTTCTAGATGTATTAGTTATTAGAAATACTAATAATTGCCTGGAATTTGATATCTATAGGAAAAATACCACTACACGCAGATATATTCCTAATAAATCATATCATAGTATTGAATATAAAACGGCTAGTTTAAATTTCTTAGTTCATAGATTACTTAGGTTTCCACTTTCCAACGAAAAATATGAAATAGAAAGAGATTACATTAGGAATGTAGCTGAGTGTCATGGATATTCTCCTTCACTAGTTGATAAAATAATTAGAAAACGTAGGTATAGGTTAATGATTTCTGAAAATTCGACTTTTCAAGTGGAGAAAGATACGTCAAAATATTTTTCAATACCGTTTCATAGAGAGTTATCCCGTGGTCTAAAAGGAATTTTTAAGAATGTCAATTATAAACTTGTGTATAGTACTAATAATAAATTACAACAATTATTAGGTAATCCAAAGGATAAAACACCTCTACTGGAAAGATCGGGTATTTATGAAATTTCTTGTAAAGATTGTAATCAGAAATATGTTGGGCAAACTAGAAGATCAGTATTAACTAGATTTAAAGAACATTTAGCTTAGATAAGATATGGTAGACCTGATAAATCTTGCGTTGCCGAACATATTGTTGATATATATCACAGTATAGATCTTAATATCTTAAAATTACTTAAACAAGTCTCAAATTGCAGACAATTAGATGCATATGAAAGCATCAGAATTAATAAATGTAAAGATAGTATGAACAGAGACAACGGTCCAATTGCTTCAAGTTCTTTGTTCCTACTACTCTAGTGGGTGTTACGCTCGGTGGGTTCTGACAAGGTTCTGACTCGGTTGGCTAGATCTTGCCACGCCCTCTTTGTGCCCACTAAGCGAGTGTATAAACGCTCCAATTTTAGATTGTATTTTAGTTTATAATCATCTGCTGATGATGCTAACATGGTTAGCGAAACGCGCGTCCAGTGTCAAAGTAAAAGTGTTTTGGTGTATTGTGGTGATTTAGTGTTTTATTTTGCAGTGTAACACCAAAGGTTCCAACCCTCAACTGTAATAATAACAATCTAATATAGAAAATTGTCGTCTCACAGTTTTTGTTAACCATACTCCTCCGAAACGGCTTAACCGATTTTGATGAAATTTTATATGTATATTCAGTAGGTCTTTTTATATGTATATTCAGACTAGGTTGTTATCGATTTTTTTACCCCTAAGTGATAAGGGTGTGGCCCACCCCAATTTTTTTTTATTTTTTGGACAAATTTTTTATTTTTATTTTTTTATGATTTGGCATTATACAACCCTACATTTTCACCCTTCTACCATCAACCCCCATTTTTTTAATAGAGGTTATTTTTTTTATTTTTTGTTACCATACTCCTGCGAAACGGCTTCACCGATTTTAATTTATATTTAGTAGGTCTGAGACTAGGTTGTTATCGAGTTTTTTACCCTTAAATGGTAAGGGTGGCCCACACCAATTTTTATTTTATTTTTTGGACAATTTTTTTTATTTTCTTATCATTTGGCATTAAAAATACATACAACTTTAAATTTTCACCCTACTACCATCAACCTCTATTTTTTAATAGTGGTTGCTCCTGAAGGATTTTTTTTATATTTTTTTTATATAGCTACTTCCTTAACTGCAATTACATTTTAAACCTCTTTTTTTTTCAATAAAGGAGATTTTTACATGTTGATTTTTTTAACTATCCACCGTCTCTTTCACCTATTATAAGCATATATTATCCACTTAAAAATATTTTATTCACCATCTCTTACTTCTCATTATGTGGCTGGTAGGTAGTTTTAGTAGCCTTGCTATAACTGCGTACCTCCTTAACTAAAATATATAAATATTTTAACAACATGTACAATAATAGAAAATTTAATATATAAAAGACACAGTTTTGAGAAAAAGCCAACAAATTATTTTTAGTACCATAAGCATGCATTATTTAACATAGGCAAACATTTTAACATAGGCGGCGGATTTAAAATTAGATAATCAAAACAATCGAATAATTTATTCAACGTCAAATTTTGGTTATTGGCTGTTCGACGCTAGTTTCTGTGTATAGAATTATTGCACCAGTGCATTACAATATGAATAATCTAAATCTAAATATGAATAACTCGACTAATTGACAGCGTGTCATCTAAAAGCTCCGCAAGTTTATTTTCAGTGCAGTTTATTAAGATAATATGATAGAAAAATTATCTGGTTGAATTAAATTAAAAAAATTGGTTTATTTACGTTAAAATGTTAAAAAATGCATTTTTACCTTGTTTGTGAAAATATTGTGCTATATAATATATTATATTTCAATAAAGCTCATGACAAAGCAAATATAATAAAAGAAATATATACAGGGTGTCTCATTAAAAAAAACATAAATTTAAGTCATATATCAGAAATGACAGCTCCCAGCGAAAAATTAAATACGGTAATCGCAAAACATTTTCCGATGCACGTCATCAATCATCTCGAAATTGACACTAAAGCCTATAAACCTGACTAAATTAAATTTTGGGAAAAATGTTTAAATTTGTTGTATAATTTAAGATACCGAGCAGCTGTTCCTTTTACTTCATAGAGCAAATGATTGTAACAGATATTTTATTTAGATTAAAGCTGCAAAAAATAAGTAGTTTGAAGCGATTTTTATTATCGCCGTGTTGATCACATTGCGGCAGCGATCAGCAACGTTGTCATTTATTATTTGACAATTATTATAATGTCAGTCATTATTTTGTATAATATCGTATTGTTGTTGAATCTTTGGGAGTAATTCTCGTTTTTTGCCGATTTTCATACTCTTAAAAATTGTACTTTTAAGCACAAACAGTTCTTTTAAGAACTAAATTGTCGAGTTTTTGTATTGCATTTCTTGAACTTGTGTGTTGAAAATATGCCGAAGCATTTAAGCAGTCGAAGCAAGGATCTTCTAGCTTCCCTAATAAATTATTTTGAACGAGAACGTGACAAGGTCCTTTATCACCCTCGACTACAGTCAGAGAAGCCAGTTTGATTGGGAAGCACATTATACCACTTTCAAAGTTATTTCTACTTATTTCGATTTTTAGCGTGTAGCTGCTGCCTTAAATTTAAATATTGTTACTGTGAGTGTTAGTGACTACTGTTAATAAATATATTGATTACTAAAATATTAATTAAATTCAAAATAAAACGTAAAAATCTTTAAAAGTGATATAATAAATATATAGTTTCCCAATTTTACATTAAGATTCATCTCGTAAATCCATCACAGTCTGGCAGCGCTGTCGCCATCGGTTGTCACTTAAAGTTGATCACGTGCATCGGAAATTGTTTTACGATTACTTTATCCACTGGTTTCAATGTAAAATACTCTTAGTCTAATACTTATAAGATAACCAAGAAACAAAGGGGGTCGAAAAATGCAAAATTTCAGAAACCAAAAAATCTAGAACAAATCTGTATGAAGCATCTTTCGTTTTATAAAAAAGTAGTCTTGTGAAAACCGCATCTTTGTATCTCTACTCATAAACGAGAAACTCAATAAAACACACAAAAAGAATCACCCTGTACAGGGTGTCCCATTTTAGTTGAAATCATACGGTACCTCCGTTATTAGTGAAGATAGAAGGATGCAGTTTGCACAAACCTATCGCACTTTTTGTCAAACGGAAGATGCTGTCTTCTGAGCTACAGGGTCTTTTCGAAAATTTTGCAATTTGGGACAGCCCCCGTATCTCCGTTATTATGGATGATATCGAGAAGATGAAAACTGATTCTTGTAGAACTTTTTACCTAGAATACAGTGACGTAGTCTGTTTTTCTACGAAAAAAATATTTTTGAAGATATGAACTAAAGTTATGTTTTTTTCAAATAGAACACCCTGTATATTTATAAATCATATGATCCGCCTTACTATGAGCTTCTCAAAAATATATATCACTCTATGTTTATTTTCACTATTTACTGCAATATTTAAAATAAATAATTTTCTTCTTAGTAGGCCGTGATAAATAACAAAAAATCAAAATGGTATTTACTAAAATAGTCATACAAATATTAAAATTTTATTTGAAATTGATATATTTTACTTTTGAACTGTTACCGAACTACTGAATCCCTGAATATATTTTTCTTTTTTTATATCGGAATTTATTATAACGGGATGGGTTTGCAAATATCTAAAAGCTTGCATTATTAAAGCATTTTCCAGGTGTTCAACATTATGTTATTTGCCACGATATATTTCATATTTCCAAAATCCCCAAAAGCAGTAATCGAGAACGGACAAATCTGGGAATAAGGGAGGCCATCATATGGATTCATTGGCTCCAATTCATTGATTTGAGAAATAATAATTTAACAAAATTCTAATATTTTCGTTGTAAATTAAGTTGTGATTTATTTCACGTAAATTAGCTAAAGGAATATTTAAAAGTCCCGATACGATAGCTTCCAAGATTTACAAACAGCGGTAGAGAGTTAAATTTCTCTAATATATAAAGAATTTATGAGAAAATAAAACAAGAGATAGATAGCAGTATACTTTTAATATAATTCTTTAGTTTATTTTATTATCAATCATGACCTACTAATAACTAATAAATTTGATCTTTTAATATATTTTTTTAAATATTGCACTAAATAGTGAAAATAAATATAGAGTGATATATATTTTTCAGAAGCTTGTGGCAAGCCAGATCATATAATTTATAAATATACAGAGTGTTCCATTTAAGAAAACATAACTTTAGTTTATATCTTTAAAAATATTCTCTTCGTAGAATAACATACTACGCCACTGTATTCTACGTAAAAAGTTCTACAAAAAACAGTTTTAACCCTCTAATTTTCAAATAACCCTCTAATAACCCTCTAATTTTTTTAACCCCCGTTTTCAAAAAGACCCTGTAGCTCAGAAAGGAAGAGGGCTATGAAATTTTTGTTTACGGCATCTTTCGATTGGCAAAAAAGTGGCACGGTTTGTGCAAGTCGCACCCTTCTATCTTCACGAATAACGGAGATACCGTTTAAATTTCAACTAAAATGGGACACCCTGTACATTGGTACATACTAACACTAATGTATTCCACACATGTTGATATCAAGAAAATAAGTATCGTCTGGGGCCCTGCCTTAGGGTTGTTATTGATTTTTGCAGTATATAGAATTACAACCTCAATATTCAACTGTTATTAATTCAAAAAATAGTATCGTTTGAAATTCAATTATTTTATTTGAAATATATATATACAGGGTTAATAAGTACAAATATTTGTAGGGCTGGTAGGTCTCGATAAAAGAAACATATTTTCTCTTTACCGTTTTTCAAAAAGTCCAAAATAACCGAGTTATTTAAATTTCAAAATTGCTTCTTTTTGAAAAAATTTTGCGAGCCACCGGATTTTTCCTGTAATTTGTTCCTCTAATTTTAATCTACTACCGATGTTGTAACGTTTTAAAGATATATTTGTTAACTGAAAATGAAACATGGAAACATGGAAAACCAATATCTTCCCATTTCCTTGAACACTCACGAAACGTACGCATTTACTAACAAAAGCCTTCTTGAAAATTATTGCATATTGTAATTTTTTGTCGGTATATGGGTGCAAGTTTGCTTTTGTTATTACCTGTTATTATACCTTCGAGTTTGATTGAAAAAAATAAAAAAAGCACATTTAAAGCTTCTTTCTGATCTGCCCTGTATATTTTTTTTTTCTCCTGTACCCTACTGTAATTACCATTAATATTTTAAATGCATTATTTATATATTTAATATTAGAACATTTAATAATCTTATAAATAAGAATTTCGCTTTGAAGTTAACTCGGATATTTTAACATTTCTGAAAACAGTATTTTGTAATTGAAGAGTGGAAACACGAAAGGTGGTAAGTGCCAAATTTTTCAACATAAAGTTATTAAATTAGAAACGTAATAAATACTATGCTGCATGTCCTAACAAAAGTTACAAGTGCTAAGCGAAAGCGTCTATTGTTTATGTATATTATAAGTATTTTAAAAGATATTTTAAAAATTGATTAGTTTCAGTTCTACTGTCTTTTTCTCGAAAAAAAAATTTTGGCACTTACCCCCTTTGGTATTTCCACCCTTCAATTGGTAAAACGTAAAAAATCGGTAGACAGCCCTGCTGAAACTATTCATCTGGACACATCTATGTACGCAATATATCCGTGCGCAGCGACCAGGGCCGTCAATGCGTTTGGTCCATATACGTATTACTTTTTACAAATATACTCAGGGTTCCCTATTTAACCCCGTGTGCAATTTCTGTGCCGTAAGAAAAAGACAACATAACCCAGCTCCATATTAAAACTGCATAAGTCTAGATTATGTCTAGATTTCACCCTATGGATTGAACTGCGATTGCGCCAAACTCCGATTGATTGTTGTTTTAGTTCTGTTTGGATTACTTTTTATTTTGCGCGTAAAAGAGTGATTTTGTTTAGTTTATTGTTTCCAACTATTTTTTGATATTTTTCCAACTCCATGATAATGTGTTATAAATAATAAAAATATAAATAAAATTCAAGGTTAGGGGAAATGTCAGTCAACCACTTCCCTTTAAAAACATCGACCAATGAAAACTTCTTCAGGTGAGGCATGCTCAGTTAAATGAATATCCGGGTGAAATAGACTTATGCAGAATTCCATATTGTTCTTTCACTGTTTGGGCTTCACTTTTTGGAGATTAGAGAGTATATTTGTAAAAAGTAATACGTATATGGTTTGGTCGCTTAAGTTATAATTAAACTTAAAACCGGTTAAAGGGATGTGTTTTATTCTAAAATTATGTGAATACTGAAATAGATAAATTAATCATAATATGGCACTAATATTTCTGCACTTTATAATACAGGGTATTTTGTTCCTTTTCCCTGAATTTTTCACCTTTTCTGAATTTTTCACCCTTTTTCAGAAATTTTCACTTTGTAAAACTTCAAAAATTTTTACTTGTTAATTGCATTTTCTCAGATGAGTAATTAGAAATACGGTCATTTAAGAAGTGGCAATGTTGTATCCCTTTTAGTGCCGTAACTTTGGTAAAGAGATTAAGGAATTAGACCGTGGGAAAATTTGCGGTGAACAGACAGTTCAAAAAGTTTTCGAAAAATATACAGGGAAATTTAAAAAAAATATATATATATATATATATATATATATATATATATATATATATATATATATATATATATATATATATATATATATATATATATACACGATTTTCAACATCTTCTTTTTTGCGAAAAAAAACTCATATACGTGTTCCTGGGATCGAAATATACTACCTCTGAAAATATTTGCACTTATTTGAGACTCACCCTGTATGTTTTTAATATTTTATCATCAGATTTTCTCCAAGTAAGATTTATATTTAAAAGAAAATAAGAATGCAATTAATTTCGGTAAAGTTCGAAGAGTAGTATACTATTTAACTATTTTGCATGTTTCTTTTCTCTATTTCTTACTCTTACATGCTTTAGCTGTTCACCTGATCAACCGATCCTCCATCACTACTCTTTGCAGGCAGACCCGAACAGCGTTGACCCCGGGAAGCTCTCCCCCAACCGCGTAAGGCGCCAAGACCATGGCAGGTCCATGAGCGTGCAGAGCAGCTTGGATCCTTACGGCTCCAACACCACCCTCAGCTCATCCGGATCGTCCGAGCTGGCTTCTTCGGAAGGCAAGCACAACTCCAATTAACATAAGGCCACTGGTGTGCCCCTACCCTCAGCGCCACCTCCCGGTGGAGCACTGTCGGCCAGCTCCCTTCCCACGTCCAGCGCACCCGTCGTTACCTCTAGCGCTCCGTCAAGTGCACCGTCGAACGCACCATCCGTAAGTTCAAGCCCCCTGCATCAATCCCACACACACTCTGTCCCCACGGTAACAGTTCAGGCAGCATCTCCAGGAGGCTGTAGCACCACTCAACAGTCGTCCCCGGCGCATACGTTCACGTTCACAATTATTTTAAAGAAGATTGTATTAAAAGAGACTATGGATTTGTAGGAGGAGGAGAAAAAGTCATTAAGTCGTATGGGCTCTACAGAAGTATTGATTTAAATAGATGTTTAATACGGTTGCCGCATACAAAAGGTGATTCAAACTCGCCGCCTTGGGCTAATAGTAGGGTCATTATAAAACTATACTGCAAAATTGGCTGCGGGATGGAAAAACAACTAATTAAAGGTCATCTTGTATACAGGGTTACTGTAAAATAAATAGTGTATCTAACTTTGGTGGATGATTGTGCAGATAAAAATAAATCAAAAAGATCCTATGAATATATGCCCTAAAACGCTTCCCGAAGAAGTTACAGGCATCGAAAGTTAAATAAAAATAATATTAAAAAGAAATTTGGTACCCTTACACATATTTTAATGCCAAAGCGAATGGCGATCCTGTAAAATTCTGTAAAAGCCCTGAAAGGATACTTTCAATTGGAGTAGAGGGTACTACTGGTGGTACTTCTTTTATCCTTATAGTTACAGTAATTTCAACAAATGACATAATAAGCTAGAGCTTTTATGCGTTAAAAAGGCACTCTTTGTTTAGTTCAAAAAGGTAAACGGTTTTCAAGATATTTGCGTTTCAAGATTACGATGCATCGATTTTAGTATTAGCGAAATGATAAAATGTAAAGAAATTTTAAGTAAATTAATATCTGGATTTCGCTAAAATACTAAAATTGGTGCATCGGAACTTTTAAACGCAAATATATTTTCCTTTCACCTTCAAGAAGTACCACCAGTAGTACTCTCTGTACTTATGGAAAGTAAGAAAGCCTTTCAGGGCTGTTACGGAATTTTACACTATCGCCATTCGCTTTGGCATTAAAATGTGGGTAAGAGTACCAAATTTCAAGAAAAACGGTTTACCAATGTTTTTAAAAATAAACAAAATATGTTATTTTTATTTATCCTTTCGAGGGCTGTAACTTCTTCGGCAGGTATTTTAGGGATTTTGTTCATATTGTTTTATTTTTATCTGTACCAACCGAAGTTAGATACACTATTTATTTGACACCCTGTATAGTAACCTTAGATTTTTTAAAAGGGACGAATGTGACCTCACCAGAACTATTTTTTCTCAACCACACACCTTTTTGCCATAATATTAAAGACATATAATTTTTAACAAGTAATAAAAACATATTTTTTTAAACAATTTTTATATAAAAAGTTTGTCTGTATCTCTACAAATTTAGCAAGAACAGCTGGTTCCAAAAAAAATAAATACGACTCTACACATTTTTTTCGAATATTTATGTGTCAAGTATTTTGACATGTTAAGGTTATTGTGACATTGTATAAAACAACATTGTTTTTGACAAAGTAGCAAATAAATTTTTCAGAACGTCAGCATGACATGAGTAGAGAAATGGGGGACTGGTATCATAGAATATACTGCCCGAAATAATAAAAATATGTTTTAAATCGTAGTCAATTTTATTGGAACCAGCTGTACATAGTTGAAAAGTTTGCTTTTACTCCTTATTGAAATATTAATAATTTTATAATTATTATGACTAATATTAATTCTAAAAATCGGATTCAAAATTCGCACTGTCCAAACCTGTAGAGATAAAGAATTTTTTATATAAAAAAATGTTTAAAAAAATGTGGTTTCCGATAATTATAAAGACATGTTTTAGTTACGGAAAACTATATACAATAGTTTTTATGACGGCATATTTTTCAGATCTTCGACTTTGTACTTACCATTGAGAAAGATAGTAAAAAGAGAGATACATTCAAAGTAAAGCAAGTTTATTTAAATTCCCCGGCGCATTCGCCAAAATTTTTTAATTAGTTGGTCCTGTTATCACAGCAGCGCTAGTAAATGCGATTCCAATTTATACTACTCAATCTGCATCTCTCTTTTTATTACTTTCTCTATGGTACTTAACTCGTAGAATTATATTTCCTGATGTCATATTCGCATTTTTAAAAAACTCGGAAAGAGATTAATGCAAAAAAATATAACTTAACCAAAGAGTTGTAAATTCTTAATGTTTGACTTAACTACTCTCAATGCGTCGAACGCTTTGAAATTTTATTTTCTATTTTTCATATACAGGGTGGTCCGAACTGTATTCCGGAAACTTCGGCAGCATATTCTGCAGATAAAAATAAGTAAGAAACTTTGTATAAATGTATGTCCTAAAATGCTAAGTTGCGGAGATACAGGGTGTAGAAGTTTCATGTTTGTTTCGATTTTTTCCAAATAATTTCCGAAGTAACGTCGATATTTGGATGAAAATTGGTGTCTGTGAGTTTTTTGACATGAGAAATTTGATTTTGATGTCAATATGACTCCTATTTGTAAAGGGTGTTACCTACATGTTTTTACACTATTTTGGAGAGCTTTTCATCCGTACCTGTATAAAACTACTGAGTGAAAAAATATACATTTCCGTGATTTTTTATGTAAAAATGTCTCTTCTTAAATATCGCTACGAGCAACCGTTCTGAGGTATTTAGAATGGAAATAGTCAATACGTGTCATTATTGAGAAACTATAAACATGTTGAGAGGGGATAGTTAGGTTAGGTATTACCTATTTGACTGAAATGATAAATTTGGAAACTTTTTATTTTTTATATTAATCATAAATTTTTGTTCGAATTCTATTCAAAGATAACACAATTTTTGTTGAAAATTTGGCACAAAAACATTTCAAATTTATGATTTCAGTCTAATTACTATTTAGGCAATATGTTTAATTTCTGTCAATGATGACAGATATTGACAATTTCATTCCAAATATCTCGAGAACCATTATTCCTAACGATTTTTACCAAGAGACCTTTTTACGTAAAAAAACATCGTAAATGTATATACGTTAGTTCAGCAATTATTTGGAAAAAATCGAAATAAAGATGAAACTTTTACACCCTGTATCTCCAAAACTAAGCATTTTAGGACATACATTTATACGCACTTTTTTACTTATATTTATCTGCAAAATATGCTACCGAAGTTTCCGAAATACAATTCGGACCACCCTGTATTTATTAGCACAGAGTTTGAATCAGCCTGTACATATTTTACAGTATTTTTAATTTAATAAGATTTACAATTAAATGATGTTTTATTCATTTCTGTTCTCAAAACATTGTTACAAGTTCCGTGGGTCCTTATCTATTTACATAAAACAAAGTCAGATTAGTTATACCATTTATAACTGAAGAATGGCTGCACCGATTTTATTAATAATTGTTGATTTGTTGAAATTTTTGAGTTTATTAATTGTTGATTTGTTGCTCTGCCCCGAATAGCAGGATAACTATTAAAAATTGACGTAAGAAAAATCGACGCAAAAAAAATTATACAGAAGTTTAATTTTTAAATAAATTAGATTTGGGACTCCACGATCTTTTGCTACTCACGTTAGGGATGGCGGTTGCAGACCAATTATTCACAGAATCGTTTTTTTAACAAAGCATTCAATTTTTAAATTGATTTATACTTCTGAATCGATCCAGTGAATGGATATTTCGCTCTTGAAAATCAATTTATCTTTTTTTATAAATCATCTCGTCTTTTATATTGCGTATATTTTCAATTTAATTTCAAAAGAAACAATGTTAAAAATGTTTGTCCAAGAACTGTTAAAAATGCTGTAAAATAAGTAATACACATAATGATTTTTAACAGCAAGGGGGCTACCTACACATTTCATGAAGCCTGCAATACCCGCATAAGTATATTTTATTACAAAATTTTCCAGCACACAAAAATTTTTCATCAAATTTAAAGTATTATATATTTTTTATTTTTAGCCCTATTTTCTTGATTTTTTTAGTAAACTATATAAATATATCAATTTTAATTTGTAAACTCTGTTTATTATAAACTTTAGTATTTGACTTATTATACAAGGTTAACCGAAGAGTTGTTTTTTACCCTATCTTTAAAATACCCTATTGATGTTTGATGTCTGGGAAAAACCGCATTACTATTTCAAAAAAAAAATCCGAAATAGGAATGGTTTTTTTTCAAGACATCACCAATATGGACCAACTGCGGTAAATCTTTTAAAATACCCTGTGCAATAATTTCGTGAGTAAATTTTGCTAAAAAATTATTTTTCGGTCAGAACCACGCCTGCTGAATATTTTGTTTTTTGCCTCATGACAACACATGCCTTGGAATTTTTAAAAGCAAAATGACATTGCCACAAGCTTTTTGCAATTTTTTATTAATCTATTTTTTATAAATTATCGTTACTTTTTGATGTTTGCTCTTTGATGTTGTTACTCTTGGTGGCTTTGGTGACTATTGTTGTGTACGATTAAATATGGTTCTTAGTGTCATTGATCTTGTTGAAAATGGTCGAAATTATGAATATTCTCTTGGTCCTTGAAGAAAAATAGGTAAACTTAACACAATATACAATTTGCAGCCTCATTGGCAGTATGAGCCGACATCTACAGACAGTTATAACAGCCGGGGGAGGCAATACAAAGTAATAGAGTATTTTTACAAGTTTTTTGTTTGTTTGTACACTTAGTTATTACAGTTATGTTTTTTTTTTAATATCCTTAGTTCTGTTAGTGTTACTAATATTTATTAACACCAAGCCTGTATCGTTACTTTTTAACGTTTCTTATATCTTAATTTAATATAGAGTTCTAATCCAGTGTCCATATGGTATTACGGCAATAAATCCACCTCGTGATATTAAAAAATGACATCATAAAGTAATGATAGTTGAAAAAATTGCAAATTTTGCAAATTCATTCTTAAGACTTAAGTAAGGCATGTGCCGACATGAGTCAAAAAACAAAATGCTCAGGAGAGGTGGTTCTGAATTATTGCACAGAGTGTTTTAAAATTAGAGTAAAAAATGTGCAATTAACCCTATATATTCAGCCAAATACTAAAGTTTATATAAAACTGAGTTTATGATTTAAAGCGGATAGACTTATATAGTTTGCTAAAAAAATCATGAAAATAAAAATAAAAATAATAACAATGTAGAACATAATTATTTTGTATACGGCTATTGCACAATGACATTGAGAGAAATCAAATTTAGCCTAAGTTCAAACGAACAAACGGTTCAATAAATAAGTAAAACAAAAATTGACAAAAATATAGTGTGTGGATCTTTATATACAGTGTGTTTCAAGAAACATGTGCCATCTCTCCTGGGGAGATTTCCTACGTATAAATAAGATTTATTTCTCA